TATATATCTATCTAAATATGTGTTTTTAAGTGTACCAAACATATTGATACGCTCCTAACCTACAATATCTGGTGCTGTACACACGTCAGAACCCAGACCGGGTCCTCATGGAGACCTTTGAATGAAAGACATGATGGCACTTCTGTCAATAATAATCTAAAGCAAAGCAACTGCATGTACAGCATATCAAAACTCTTCAAACATTGTCCTATGATTACACGATGGTAGAAAAAAAGACGTATAAATATATTAAGTATAACACATATAAAATAACTCCTAGCCCTCATGATTCACATTGTTAAAAAAAAAAAAAAAGTGGATTTGAACAAAAGGAGGCAAAGGGCTTCACCCACTCTCTACCATTTTCAATCACAGCCACTCCGTAATGATTATAACCAACATGGCATCTGTGTCAAGTATGCACAGTAATGCGTTCATCCATCATTCCTCCGCACTGCTGCAGGTACAGAGTCTCTACAAAGCAGGAATGTACAGTATGAAATGTCCGTCAACACTTTGGCATCCCCATGATCCAAATGAGTATAAATCCACTGATTTGAGAGATTACTGTTAATCTCCTCTGCTCAAATGTCCCCTTCTTACCACTGGGTAAAGCACCCCCCCCCTTAGAGTAAATACAGAACCCTAATTAACCTTATAGTTATTACAATGATGTATTGCTGAGGTCCCTTGTGCTCTTAGATGAGTCTCTGGGTCCAAGACCTCGTGGGGAGTGACTGTGCAGAGTCTGTGCACAGAAGGCTTCCTGAGAGCAGTACTGTTTGTGTGCTTCTCTTGGGATATTGGCACCTTCACTCGCCGGATTTGCGTGGCATCCCAACTACTCTTCTTTTAGCCTGATAGAAATCTGTCGAGATAAAGAAACAGGAAATTCAGCTCATGCAAATCCACGCGAAAAATCACAACTGCACGCATTCACACTTGGAATATGTACCTGTGATGTTTGTCTGTTTCCTCTTCAGCCCCGTGTTCTCTCCTCCCCCTGGTGTTTTCTCCAGCTTCTCCTGGTTGAGTGCACATCTCTCTGGTGAACATGGGATGTTCTCCTTCAGCGCGACCCTTCCTCCGTCCTCGGGCTGAACCGCCGCCTCTGCCGCCCTCTCACCTTCTGCGTGTCCCAGACCCAGCACACAGGATCTGTAGAGCAGCGGCACTGTGGCCCCGGGGATGGCCTCCCACTGGAAGTCACTGTTCTCCAGAGGCGTATCGGAGAGGAAGTCAAAGCCCCATCGATGGCAAGTCTCCTCCAGGCTCCTCTGCAGGGCGGCTTGGTAGTCCGCCTGCAGCTGCTCTCTGTCCACCGGGCCAAACAGGTTTCGTCGGGCCGAGCCGGTCCTCGGGGGGCTCAGGATGGGCTTGTGAGTAGCCATCGTTCTACACTGCAGGGAACACAGGTTCAGACCGGTGGTTAGTCGGAGAAGCTGAGACAGTGATGATGAGCTGTAACTTTAGCTGCAAGTATGCCAAAACGTTTCACCATTTAATCAACTAATGGCTGCAGCTCTAATTCTCAGACACTTCTCATCATATCATTTTCAATAAATAAAAAGTAAATAAAAGGCTTCAATTTTACACCGAATAATTCAAAAAATGTAAATAAAATATATTCTAATCCATGCTAAAAATCCACCCTCAATCAACAAAAACATAAAGCAGACGTTATTCTGTTTAAGTTTTTGTACTATTCAACTTTAAAAGTATATATCAGGCTTACCATCTCTCCAGTCAGTAAAAGTATCCTCACTAGTAACTACAGAGCGTCTCAGACTGGTGATACTGGGCTGCTCTTTATAAGAAGCCGGGCAGCCAGTGACTCACTGAGCACCTCCTGGTGAATCACTGGTACATGTCTGGACATAATCTCAGACAGACATGTCAAGGCAAATCCTCAGCAGAGGCTGAGATCCCTGCAGGCCCACAGAGGCCCCACTAGGTGGCAGTGTCAGACAGACTGAACACGTTTCAGACCTCAGTGAGCAGCTAATAAGCTAATAATTAACTAATCTTATTTTTTTTTAATCAGTTCTTTCCACATCTGGATATTCATACAGCACTCACATAAAAAAATATCTTTTCCAAGTATAGTGGTTGAATGGTAGTAGCACTTTCCTGTAAGAGCGTCAGGAAGGAATCAGCTGTGTCTCAGGAGAATAATAAGTCATTATAGTCATCCAGGAAGTGCTGGGCAGGAGTCCCAGCCCACCCTAATTATCCAGCTGCAGCACTGGAGGGGAGGATGAGGTCATTCTAATTATAATAACAATAATATGGAAGACACTAATGAAGACCTCATTAACAGTCAGACCCACTAACTCCAGTTTGACATGGACCGATGGCTACTTTAAAGCATATCTGACTTTTAAACTAAGCAAAAGTGTTCCCCAAAATGACCCCAACCCAATAGCTTAAAAAAGATCTATATAGATATGAATAGAAGTCTGGTAGATCGTGTCCTGTCACGTGACTCAGCTGCAGCCACACATCAGAGCAGACTACTATGAGATCACGTAATGTCGCAATTGTAACATGATTTGGTGTCTTAAAATGACATAAATAGTAATAGATTCATTCGTATTTATATATTAATTACTAAATGTAAGACGACTAGTAGTCTCATAAAAGTTAACTTGTTCAAATAAATCGTATAAAGGAATCATGGTCACAGACAGTCATGGGTCACTTAATAATGGGGTGTTATGGGACGTATTTAATAGTACTATACTTTTAACACGTTTTAAAGACTATTCCACTGTGAGACACCATTACTCCACCCCCTCCCTCCCTTTTCTTTCCTTCTCCACACACCCTCCTCGCAGGACACGACGTCATAGTGAGAGCCGGGCGGGGCGGAGTGATTCAAGTCTGTGGCGGGAGAGCGACACTACACATGTGCGGAGGAGTCCCCGGCATGGGCCCCGCGGAAGAGAGCACAGCAGCTACAGATAGACCCTGCCCAGTTTACTACAGCGCTCCACGTGAGGCTGGGGCTCGTGTCGGCGAGTAGTACAACTGGGCTGTCACTGGAGTCTGACCAACCCTCCATCACCACTCACACACATATTAAAATACCTCCGACAAGAAGCCAGCATGAGTTTTGAGGAGTTTAGTGATAAACTGAAACCCTGAAAACTGATATGTAGATACAAACACACCCAACTTCATATGAGTAGCTACGAATCATCAAAAGTAGAATTGTCAAGACTACAAAATACAAAAATTGACAATATATGTACACGAAAAGCTTTATTACCGTCTATAAAACGTTACTTAGACTGTAAACCGGAGACATGCGTTTCTAGAGATGCTTACAAGCTAACAAAACACTAAATCACCTAAGTAAATGCCAAAAACAGACAGTTTAAGCATTAACATTAGTTCAGGGTCATTATACTTACATTATCAGTCCTGTACAGATAAAATCCCTCTGATTCAACCTGTTGAATGAAGCTAGTCCGTTTATCCGCTTCGGTGTAAAAATCCTATGTTATCCAACCCACCCTCTCCAATGAAAGAAAAACAACTAGTAGTGGTAATAGCACTCTCCTTGATAGCTTCTTCAAGTACTCTCACGGGCTACGGTTGTATGAACTCCGATCTTCGGAGATGCTTCCTCTCCCGTGCAGAGGCGGAGTCTGTCTTCGCTCACACACGTGAAACTTGTCCCGGTAAACACATGCGGACACGTAAGACTTTGGCTCTGGAGTACAGAGGAAGTTCCATCTCAAGACGACCCAGAAAAGAAGCTCGGCAAGGGAGACTCTCGCTGCCTTTCAGTGCGCATGTCAGGCCGGTTGACTGTGCAGTAACCCGGATGGGTCTTTGTTTGGCTCCTCCCATTTCAGCTCAGGCACATTTTCAGTGTCAGACACAAATACGTGGAAGAAAAAGATACACCTGTTACTGTATTTACCGTACATATAACACAAGTAACAAATAAGTCATGGTGCAAAGTATTTTTACCGTTAGCCTTGTACTAAAGTACTACTTTATACTTCTACTCCACTACTTTTTTGAGGTAAATATAATACTTTTTACTCCACTACATTTGTTTGTTTGCTTTGCAGATTTAGATTAATACAAAATATGAATCAACTAGTAAATGCTGCTATATTACTATAGATTAAGCTTCCCAACACTATGTTAAGTAATTCAAATTAGCCCTACCATTACCAGATGCAACATTCAATTGTTGTACACATTAATGGATCAATAATTATAATCCAATAATGTAATGATTCTGTAATGGGATATTCTGCATAATGAGTACTTTTACTTTTGGTATATTTTGATGGTAATGTACTTTTTCTTAAAAATGCAGGACCTTTACTTGTAACACAGTATTTCTACATTATAGTATTGCTTTTGTTTTGTTGGTTTGCACTAATGTAGTTTTGGACTTTTCAATTTCATGTTACATGTTTAATCTGTCTTTTAACATCATGGGACCATGTTCACAGTTCATTTTAACATCTTATCCCATGATTGATGTCCTTTTTTAGATCCATAAATCAATCAATAAAAAAACATGATATGTTTTATGTGTAAAGTCCTTATTGACAAAGTAATTTATAAATTGTACATGTGCTTTTACTATTACTTGCTATTAATTGTACGTGTAAAGGCAGCTAAAACAAGTGCCCCTCTATTCTTTTAATATTTTTTTCTCAAAAGCAGTTACAGTTTTAATACAGTTTAGACTGTGGTAACAAGATAAATAATAAAGTCTTATTTAATTCAAACTAACCTGCAGTTTAAGTTACTTCATATTGAGGCTGCATAATAACTGTGGGCTTGTAACTTAGTCTCTTAACGCTCCTGTTACAAGTCTCTGTAACTTTCACATTGGTAACATTTTGCACTCAAAAGTCTGTTCCACTCAGTCCTCTTGTTGTCTTATAAGCTTGTTTATTTCAAGAACATGGTCAACCAACAGACAACTCCGCATGCTTCCCAACCCCATGAGCCTAGTTGCCAGCACAACAACAATAACCCTAACTGTAGGACGCAGTGTATAAAGGCCCAGCGGCTCGGACACCACAGTGAGTCCTTTGTTGAGTAGGAGACTGATGGGACATATGAGATTCAGTGGTGATACGTACTGAAGGTAATGAAGTTTAAACTAAATGGAACAATACAATGAGCGCATACTGTTTGTTGCTGAGCAGCAGCTGTGTCGCTCTACATTTGTACAGCTGAGTAGACACTTTATTGTCTCTCAGCTCAAAGGCAGCTGCACAGTGCAGCGAGTCTGCAAGCCACATCAAATTATCTTTTTTCATTTTGTGCTTCATCTTATTCAGGCCTTTGTTCTGCAAAGTGAAAAGTTTCACGTGATAAATGGCGCCAAATGAAGCATAGACACTATGCATAGCCAGTGGCCACATAGTTAACTATTTACTGAGAGACAAAGGCTCGTCAAGGGAGTTCTGCTTATTGGAAATGAATTACTAACCACGACATCGTAACCTTAAACACTTGACTTTTTACTCTCAAATTACCTGATGGTTTTGTGAACGAACAAATGTATTTACTTTAAATGATCCCAGAAGCTGCAGACTATTCTCATAAGAATGATTGTGGTGCAGTTTAATAATAATTGATTTAACACATTTGTTTGTACAGCCCAAAGTCTCATCTGTTTGGATCATTTTTTGTAAACGCCCCTGAATGCAGGGCCAAGACTCCGATACTGATTTGTTGACATACAAGAAGAAATTAATTAACAATAAAAACTCGATTAAAACTGTGAAAAAGTATCTTTCATTTCATTGGGACTTTAGTGAGCGTAAGAGGTGCTGGTGGGTGCATTGTGGTACTTTTGGACAAAGCCAGACCGACCGTTTCCCCATTTCCAGTCTTTAAGATAAACTAAGCTAACCGGCTTCTGTAGACTCAAAAATGTCAAACTTCCTGTAAATGTTAAGTCTAAAAAATATATTAGAAAAATTGTAGAATGAGTAATTTGAGGTCTTAACATGTCACGTTTTTGTCCGAACAATTGTCCAAATCCCAAAGACATTCACGTGACCATGATTTAAAACGGATAGCTTTAGATCAAATTATACTTAGTGCGACCAAATCTAAAATTAGCTCCAACAAACTGCACCTTTGTGTTTGTTCAGACCAGTCGGTGATGACGTTACTCAACAGTGGGTGTCAATACCACAGGTCTCTGGGTGGATTCCCGCGAGTTCCTTCACTGTGAGAGCCGTCTCCTTGGATACCGTGAGTCACCGCTTCTACGTCACCGGGTCTCGAGTACCAAGCGGAAAAGCGCGCGAAAAAATGTCTGTGGGGAAACGGAAGAGACCCACCCAGCTGTACATTTACACAGCACCTTTTCTGACCACAACGGGAGGAAGAATGTCTCAAAATGAATGAAAATAGTTCCGGACTCACCGCAGTCCTCGTGACCTTTTGATAGGCTGTATGCACCAGACACATACGGGGACTTTATCAGCAGCATTGTCGCTCATCTATCTGGTGAAATAGTTAAACTCAAGTCAAGCGGATTACATAACGACCTCATACCGAACCAAAGACTATATAGAAAGTACGACAGAAAAGGAGGGATATCTGGGAAGATGTTTGAGGACATGAACTGGCTACGTTACTGTTTCTTGATTTCCTATGTGACAACTTAGAAACAGCCTCATACACTGAGTTATTAAAATATAGATTTACGCAAAACTTTAATTTAGGAAAATGTCACCAATTCAGTTTTGACCATCTGAAATGTGACTAAGTTTCAATCTTTGATGTAAAACAAAGATCCAAATATCTTATAGAACACTACAATTACAGGTAGATTTGGAGCCGAATCTACTTTTTGTTTAATTATCGATCATTTTATAGTAAGTTGATCATTTCAAATGCTAACAAATGTAAATTAGGCCAATATACAGTGGATCAAACTAACATGTCAAAAGGAGAGCAGTGCAGCTCAAAATTCCTGTTGCTTGATGGGCAACAGAGGAATCGACTAAACCCATTTTCATGAGAAAGTGACTGACCTGGACCATAGTGCCTGATAAGTGCTTCTTGTAGAAAATAATAATACAGTATAATAACCTTTCCTCCGAGAGGAAATAAATAAGACAAACAATGCAGGTCTTTTGTAATCAACCGGTTTCTTTAATTGAGAGACCATTTCACATTGTATCAAACAAAAGAAAAATTATGGAAAACTTCAAGAACAAAAATCAGTCTTTTTTTTCTAAATCTATGCCAGTTTTGACTCTTGGACGCGAGGCTGTTTTTATTACAAACCAACCTTTAACAGATGGAAACCATCAGGGTGAAGTAAGAAAGTAGCACATTGAAAACAGACAGTCAAAAGGAGAGACTCTTATAAATCATCCCAATCCTCACTGAAAAAATGATGGCATTGAAAAAGAGCAACTACTCACACTATGTCAAACTACACAGTACATTCATTGACAAAAAGAAAAACTCTTAAGAGAATAATTGGTGAACTGGAATGCTGGGTGGCACGACTGTTTCAGGACAGACTAGGTGGACTGAGGTGAGGCGTCACACTTGTACACACCCACTCAATGTCTGTGAAAATGATAACATGTAAAGGGGAGGGACACTAAAACACTTGATTGTTAAAACAAAAAAAGTCATCACAAAAACGGCGACACGGCCATGTTGAATTCCATCATTTGAAACGGGCAAGCCTGTACAACCGTTCATCTTCAGCTCCCTTTACACCCGGCGGGTGTTCCTCTACTTTCTGTCGTTAGACCTGGAGCGACTGTAGAGAGTGAAAAAACAAACCATTAAAGCTAAAAACAATTACAGTCCAAACTAAAACTCTCAATACCACACTCAAACAAACAAGACCGAGGCACAGGATGGGGACGCATGGTATTCCCAGTGGTACAGTGTCCTCTAGAGAAAACCCAAGAGCGATCTACTAATAGCTTTATAGGCGAGTCGTGTTACTACGCCTCGCATTAAACCGTCACATCTGTTAGGACACAAGACTAAATTTATCTTTAGGTAGCTCAAAACATTTCCGTACCTCCTTGATCGGGAGAAAGACCGTGAAGGTTTATGGTTCCTGTCCCGGGAGAGGGACCTCTCCCTCCTCCTGTCTCTGGAGAAAGACCTGCAGACACCAAACCATCCCATTAAGTCAACATGTCTCATGTTTTTTTACATACTAATCACGTTGGCCTGTTGAGCTTGCTGCGTGCCTGTTGGGTTGGTTTGGATTTTGAATCTGGTTTCCATTTGGCAAAATACATGGATGCATATCAGATTTTGGGCTCATCATCTTTATAGTTCTGAATCAGTATCACTAGTATTTGGATCAAGTAGACAAATTGAATAATTAAATAAATAAATATATATATATATATATATATATATATATATATATATATATATATATATATATATATATATATAGTTAATGAATTTAGTGGGTACCACTCAAAACCTGCTGTTTCTTGTACATACAAGACATCCTGAAAGCTACACACCTGCTTCGACTGCGGCTGAAGCTCCTCTTGCGTGGGGATCTGCACGGGGAAAATAAAAGAGTGTTAAGAGCATACACAGACGCATCGACCCCCTGAAGAACTCCACACTATTCCAATACTTTCTTTACATGGGCCTCCTTCAACACAGCCCTTTGTCTATCAATTACACAAAATGGAAATAAAAGACTTGGGTGTTTTTACAGGAACACAATTATCTCAATCCAAAAAATAGAACTCACTGACAATGGACCTAGTGCATAAAGATGGCAGGTGCTTAAAAATGATCCCTCACCTATCCCACAGTGCGTTGTGCATCTATACATAAAGTCAAGTTCAATTTACTCATTTGGAATGGTGGAGTAGGATGTGTCCTACGAGCTGTGATTAATATGTGAGAATTTTTTGTCAGTGTTTGAGCTGATCACAAAATCGGAGAGAGCTCACAAGCAACATTTGCTCTATCGGAGGACTTCAATGCTGCACTGTGGACCGGCCACGTTGTGTGGGGATAAAAAACACACACACTGAGGCCACCATCTGTATGAAACTGGCCCACTGGACCCAAAGGGAGCACATTAGGAAGCTAATATCAAACACACAATATACTGGTCACTGGGAATAAGTCTCGAGAAGCCACCAGGCTAAGATCTGCTAAAACCAACCATACAGCAAAAAAAAAAAAAAAAAAAAAAAAAAAAAAAAAAAAAAAAAAAAAAAGAATATTCATTTGGGGGGGTTGAGGAGAGTTTTGATTTGTGTGACTTGATAATTCTGCTCAGAGCCCCAAGAAATACCATACAGATGCTTGTCTATAATGGAAATCTCTGGAAATGTCAAGTTCCAGACATACGATTTAAATAATTAATAAAACAACCTTTTCAGACCAGCTGTCTCTTCACTTTCAAAACTGTAATCAGCAGTGTACTGAATGAAGCAGGAAAACTTACTAGTATTTTTGGTTTTCAACAAGCTAGATATGACGAAAGGGAGGCAGACTGCCGGCCGGGTAGGTAGAATTGGCTGAATAGGACAGGCCAGATGCTGCAAGGTGTTTAGGTGGCAGGCAGATGGGGGCTGGCTGTGGCTTTTTTTCCTGCTTTAATTGGTTAGCCGAAGGCTGCTGTTGGTAGGTTGTAGACTTTTGGGAACGTAATACGCTGATTGGTCGGGAATGTGAGGTGGGCCGCTGCAGTTTGGATTAAGGTTGAAGGAGGAGGAGGTTGAGAACGGCATGCTGAGGAACCAATGGGTTGGTGCAACTTGACGACTGGCCATGCCTGGGTCATGTGACAGCACCAGCCAAGCTGATTGGTGCACGATGGTCAGCAGTCACATGATGCTGAAAGAGGACTAGTTGATTGACTCAGAGGATGGTGAGAGGAGGCATGGTGACGGCTCTGCAACGGGTTTCATTCTTATTAATATAAATGAAAAATAAAAGCATCCTCAAACAAAAGGAAAAAATGCATCACATTTGGCACTTTTATCCCCCCAAAATTTTAAACAGATTATACTTTTTCTGAGGACCTATTTCACACACCTATTTTGTCATTTTAAAGCTTTAAAACTTTTTGAGAGTGCACATACTTATGTACACTTAAAAATAAGCACAAGTACCTAAATCAGAGGTTTTACAGGCCAGATTTAAAGATGCATTTGCAACACAAAGACTACATGATCTAGTAAATTGTCCCATTTCATATTTCATTTGGTTATGAAAGTCTGTTTGACTCCCTACGTAAATAATATCAATGAAGATGAAACTATCACAAATGTATAATCAGCAGAAAAGATAAACACTAGAAATTCCCACACTGGAAAAACATAAGCAATTACCAGGAAATATACTTTGGGTAAGAGAGCGGAACCAGTAGATCACGAGCAGGAATTAACAACAACATAGAAAATATGCTGTCCCTGCTGGCCACTGTCAAATCATAACATGGGTCACCTTCGTCTGGCTTGTGGGCTACGACGTCTGTTGTTGTCGTCTCTGTCTCGAGGGCGCCTGCTCCATGGAGGAGGAGCGCCACGGGTGCGACTGCGCTTCTCGCCGTTGGACAGCTCTACTCGCACCCGGCAACCACACAACGTCCTGTAAAAACAACCAGTTATCATTAACCACCATAGCTGTATCAAGATGAATCCTGTTTTTCTTCACTGCATCTCAAAATGATTTAGATGGCTGCCTACCTTCCATCGAGCTCTCGCACGGCATCAGTAGCATCTCGACCGTCTTCAAATTCTACAAAGGCGAAGCCTGGAGGGTTCCTGGCCACCCAAACACTGCGCAGAGGACCGTAGTAGCCGAACGACCTCTCTAACTCAGTCTTGTTTCCATTGTTGCCCAAATTTCCAACATAGACCTTGCAGTCAAGAGGACAGTCACGATGCATGACCGGATCTGGAAAATAATAAAGAAAGGAAATTGATTAGTAATGCAACAGACAACTAGATTATCCTTTAAATAAGAAACACTCAAGTCGCGGTTTCTTTACATCTTAAGGGAACATTAGTTTACAATCTGATCTGACAAAAACAGCTACGCTAATGCAACAAACAGGACCCATAGCAGATAAAACACAACACCTTACACACCTGTTTTCGGATGAGATAAGTATGAACCAGTCGAATAATAATTCTCCCGTTTCCGCAACGTTAACATATAATACATTTATATTGTCCACCAGGGTGGAAATATATACACGCTACCCACCCAACACAAGAAACGACAGCATAAAAAAAAAGAGACATGCGCCGATGTGCGTTCACCCGCAAACTTTTCAGAATAACGTCCACCAACGTGTCAAAATATGTGCAACGTTTTCTGTTAGTTGCTGACTTAACGTGACAAGAACATACTGTGTACACATCTAACATGTTAAAAGCAACAGAAAGACGCTTGGCCTCGTCATTTATGCTCACTTTAGCTTTACAGGAAATAGTATTCATGCAACCGTTAGTACCGTTAGATTGAAGTACTAGGACTTTGTTTACCTGAGCGACTCAACCGTACATTGCTGCCTATGTCCCGCCTTTAAAAAAATAATACTAATGCACTAGTTAAATGTTTCACATTCAAAATTAGATTGTCTTTGGACACTTTGAAGCTAATGCTAGCTAACGGCTTTATAACGGTAGCTAAAATGGCTGTCGCCTATCCAAGGCCTACTCCTAATGAGCAGCATTCTGCTAACAACCACAGGATTCAAACAATAACGTAAGATTAAATTGATGCAATTAATCGACGCAAATGTGGTATTCTTACTTTTCAGCACGTCACACATTTTAGAATTTCGTTCAAACTCTACCGTTTTCGGTGCAATCCACAGCTCTGACTACCCGCGTTTCTCTGGCTGGTTTGTTCCTCTCGGTCGTCGATGGAAAATGGCGTGACGTTACGAGCTGGTCGGCTGCATACAGTCTACGGTAGGTTAACTAGGATGCTGCTCTCGGGAGGGCGGGGAAACGGTAAATAAGTATTTCACGACCGGAAATATGATCCGTTTATGGAACTAGGCTGCCTGTGCAGTTTCACAAGTGCAAACACGTTTGAAACTGGTGCTACATGACCAGAAAAAAATATAGTTGAAGGGCTGTAGCATTTTGTTTAAAAGGTAAATAACCTACAACACCCATAATGCACTGCGATCATTGCCACTAGCGCCACTCCCAGGCCCATCCGAGTATTTGTGTGTGAACCAGATAACCTCCCTTCTCACCGCATGTATTAAAATGAACGCATAATTGACACCGCAAATAACTCTTTTTAAAAAATAATTATGTAGGCATTTTACGCACAAACTGTATGTAGAGATGGACTACATTACAGCTCTAGACCGTGGGTAGACAGTCACAGTGTAAATATAGTGAGAACCAGCAGTGTCAAATCGGGTTATTGTTTGAATCTGCGTGCAAAAGCTGAAAAAAAATAATGTGCTTCCTCATCTACACCGTGTCGTGATTTATAGTGTTTTAGTAGTTAATAATTTGCAATCTCAAGGTAAAAGTAAAAAGGGCGCATGTGTAGTGGATGAGGATTCCATCGATTACTACGAGTTTAATGCTGCATTTATAACGGCTGGGAAATGACTGCTTCCACGCTATACCCATACACACAAACAGTGTTTTCAATCAAAAATGTTTTATTTCACTCCAAATTGTGAGTATACATAACAGATATAGATTGATTCGTGAGTGAAATGTTAACGGCTGAAATCCGTTATACAATAACTGTAGTTCTTTGTTGTCCCACTCACTTTGAACGCAGCTGTATGGCTGCAACGCCCCCTCAGCCTGTTGGGTACCGCCCACAAAGTTACTCAGCCAGGTGACAGCTGAGCCAGCAGGGACTCAACTCAACACAGCATAACGACATCTGTCTGCAACAGATCAGAGGGGAAGACACCCAGACTTCAACCCCATTGTTGCTTTTACTTACAGTTATTACATGTACTTAATTTGAAAGCCTCTCTTCCGCTCGTTGTTGGAACGAGTAGTTAGCTAGCAGCGCGAGGACGTCGTTGACGTTAGCTTCTCTGACGTCACTACCAGAGGGCATTGGACGGTGGTTGTATCTCTGACAAGAGACACCTTCAACATGTCGGATCCGGCCGTGGAGCTGAAGCTGGAGGTGAAACAGGCCAGCAAAGAGGTGAAAGAGAGCGAAAACGTGGCGGAAAAATATTCAGCAATGACCGTAAGCAAGAATAGCGAAATTACCATGGGAGAGCTGTCGTCCGCCGCCAGTGCGGTGCCCACTCACAAACCAGTTAAAAAGGTAAGATCTAGTGTGTCACATGTATACAGTGCTTTTAGTTCGTTCAGTATGTAGTAGTTGGAGTACCTCATGTATCTGTGGTATTCATTCACGGGGTCAGGTGTACCTCAGTACATTGGGTTCACATCAATATCTGCCTGCAGTATACTGAGCTGTAACTAATGTCCTCCAGTCCTTTGGTAAGTAAAGGAAATAGACTTTATCTTAACCTTCCCTTTGCAAGCTTTATCATTTAACATGAGGTCATTTTAATGAATGTCACATTAAAAGCAAAACTATGCACAAATAACCATTTACATGTGGATTGTCTCTCAATCTGTGTTGCAGAATAAAGCCGATATACACAAGAAAGAGGTAAAACTGCAGAGACAGACAGATTAACATTGTTTATGAAATATAGGCCTACATATGTTATATATGCTACAGTAAACATTATGGGATTTGAAAAGTTTGTTTTTCTTTACCCCAGATTGTGAGGTAGTACAAGAGACGGCTTTGGCAGCTTTTCATTAGCCTAAAAGTATTATTCAACTGTAGGAGATCAGCAATGAAAAGTCACATTACCACTGTCTACATGTGTACAATGACTGACGTTTGAAGGTTTCTTTGTAATCCTCAGCCACTATTGTGCTTCTTAACAGAAAAGACCAGTTCAGTTTATCCTCTTAGTCACAGTTTTCTTCAGTTACGCACACATCTTTGACTTCCTTTCCACATCCAACTCAAGGAAACAACTGAATGATTTGCTCCATGTAACACTCACAAAGGAGGGACGTTAACTGACACCTTCGAGGAACAAGGAAGAGTTGCACCGTGAATTCTTGGGGGTTTAAAGCGGAAAGTATGTGTACACCTCATTTAAGTTGCAGTGGACAAATGAATACCAGTTTCAGACAAAATATACCCTTTACTGCGCAAACATATCGCACTTATAACTTAACTGTGACCAGAACTATGTCAAATGCAAAGTCTCAACAGCCAGGATTGATTAGTCAGGCTGACAGTCTCACTATAGAAGTGTTTCACATCCTCATTCTCCTCCAGGGAGGAACTTAATAATTATAGCAGCTGTTAGTGAGCAATTCTATGGATCTCAAAAGAACAGTTTGATTTAGTTTGGTTTGGTTGAATAGTTTAAGGTGTCTTCATGCTAATACAGTTAACATAATTATTCACATTATTTTTGTATGATCCTTGTAAAATTAAATTATTTAACATCTGTTTCCCAAAGCTTTAATCCTGGACACGGTGAAAGGAATACAGTTGAGAACCTTCAGTACTAGAAACAGCTGCAATAATTAATTAAGTTGTGGCTCAGGGATACAGGGTCAAGGCCCAGTGGAAGACTTTTTCTTTTACACAGACATGGTTAACTTATGTTAATTAAGGTGTTATGTTGCAGATGTTTAGTATGTTCTGTATTTAATATATTTAGGTATTGATGGTTAAGTTAAGTTTCAGCCATCAAACACACACAAATTAAAACATTAGTTTCATTAAAACATAATATAAATAAATAAATAAATACATAAAACACACACCAACTTAAACACAAGACGCATTAAATATAGTGTAAATACATTGAATATTAATATAAATGCTTAAACCAGCTCATATATAAGAATGTACATCAAGTGACAGCATAACATAACACATTCAAGCCAATGATCAGTGGTTATAACAACATCCCCACCGTCATTTCTCATTAGTCCTGGAACCTGAAAGAAGCACTTTGTAATGCAGTCGGCTTTGAGACTCTGCATCCCACACTATCCTGTCCAGGGGGAAATATGTGGTGTCTCTCACCCTAATCTGAAGAAAACAGCTTCACATTACTCTTTGTTGCCATGTCATTTTCACTAGTATGTGGAGGGTTTTCAGTACCGGGCCAAACCTGGCGGCTAGAGAGCGACCGTTCATCAGGATGAAGAACCTGACTCCTCTTCAATAATGAGGAGAAGGGGGGCGGGACACACTGTAGGCTGGCGGGAAAATATTCCGATTGTGTGATTTATTAACGTTATGTTCCCACGTGCTGATTCTTTATATCTTTATATAGTTTTTGCTGAGACCAAAAACAGTCAATAATCTCACCTGGCACGGTGAAGACAAATACCCAGAAACATTTTTAGAAACCGCTGAGGTGTACAGACTTTCCTGTTGACTTCTCCATACCTGAACTGGAGATAACACTACAGCACCTGGAAGATTTAGTTTTTCTCACTCATGTTGCTTCGATGCATGCAAAAGCCCCTGTCAACAAAAAGATTAGCTGACCATGCATAAAGCTCGGTACAAAAACACCAGTTCCTTCCTCTTACACACACACACACACACACACACACCACACACCACACACACACACAGTTTGCTTTGCCCTGAGTATACATTAACTACTCGTATGGCAGCAGAAACATAAAGAATAAACAGGTGATGAAAATACGACAAGCTGAATCTAATTAGGATAGTAGGGTAGTGTATTAAGTGTGGAAATCAATCAATAGTTACAATACCGATGTGCATGCCATCGCTTTCAAACAGCAACATTATTATACTGTAATACATTTAAATATAATACGATAATATGTCTGGAGGTTTTTGGATCTCATCAAGGCTACGATGAACTGAGGGAATGTTCACAATCATTACACAAGCATGACTCAGATGGGGCCAATAGTTTTGACTCTGTTTTTCTGTTTTTGGCAACACAACAAAAGAAGCTAGTTCCAGTAGGATTCTCATGTTGTCAAAGTGTTTTTTGGCAAAGATCTTCATTTTTCTCAGTTTCAGTCCTTCCACATTTGGTCAAGTCTATAAACAACCTTAAGACCTCAAGCAAGACAAAAATAAACAGTCCATCTCCCCTGTTTACTTTAGAAAGAATGGTTGTGCTGTGTTTCAAACTCTACAGCGAGTCTAAAGCAGAACCTTAATAAGAGCTTATGCGTTGCTCATGACTTAGATTTGCATCCATTGGAAATAACTTCAGTGCAAACCGTCTATGAAAACATTTACAGCGTGTAACTTTTTTTTTTTTTTTTTAACGTAGCAAATCCAGTTTGTGGAGGACAAGCAGGAGTTCAGCAGGTTCCCCACCAAGGCCGGCCGTCGCTCCCTGTCCCGCTCCATCTCTCAGTCATCCACAGACAGCTGCAGCTCCGGTAAGAAGGAGAGACGGCAAGATAACACTTGACCTCCAGGGTTCAACTTGTCTGCAGTATAATATTTTGCATGAATGAATGACTGTCTTTGATTAAAATAAAATATAACCTGTGCTGTTCTAGATGTTAGCTGAACTTTAAAGCCAGATCTAAATTCATTTAACCACTTTTGTTTTCCTTGGTGGCTTTAATTTAGCGAGTTCTTTGAAAGCCTTGTCTCCTTTACAGCGGCATCGTACACGGATAGCTCCGACGATGAGACCTCACCACGGGACAAAACTCAGGTGAACTCCAGGGGCAGCAGCGACTTCTGTGTCAAGAGCATCAAACAGGCTGAATTTGGAAGACGTGAGATTGAGATCGCAGAACAAGGTGAGACACAGCAGCCGGGTCAAAGGCACCACTCTTTCTTGAATGTTGTCTAATTAATCGAATCTTAATCTAAATAATCTGTCATAATATGTAAGATTTAAACCAAACATTCACAATTTAGATAATATCGGTAAAGGTGTCTCTTGAGCAGTTACTGTTTTTTTAGCTAGTGCCCCTCAGATTCTGACTGATTCGATTAAAGAAATAAAACCCCTTTCACCACTCATGTAGAAAAAGGAACCATTTAAAATAACGTTATAATAAAGAAAAGGCAAAAACACAGATATTTGCTTTTGCTTTTATCGATCTACATTTTCTAAAATGGAGGGTGGTTATAGAACTTGAGTTTTGTGAGATTATTCTTGCATCATCTGCTGTCTTTCTCACTCATCCCTTTTTTATCTTCTCTCATTTTCAGATATGTCAGCGCTGATCTCACTCAGGAAGAGAGCGCAGAGTGAGAAACCGTTGGCAGGTGCCAAAATTGTGGGCTGCACTCACATCACGGCCCAGACTGCAGTAAGATTTCTCTCTGCGCTTCAACACCAAAACAATGACTGCAGTGTGATAGTGCCTCTCAATCAGGATAGGGGGTTTTAGGTCAATTGTCTGCAGGACCTACTGTCTAGAAAACAGGATTGTTTGATTGATTTGCTCTCTGCCATTCACCAGTGAATAGATCTGTCTTATTTAACCCTTTTCTTGTGCTTCCTCTGTGTTTTCAGGTGCTGATCGAGACTCTGATGGCTCTCGGGGCTCAGTGCCGCTGGACTGCATGTAACATTTACTCTACACAGAATGAAGTGGCTTCTGCTCTGTCCGAGAAGGGTAAGCAGTAGATACGCTGATGAACGTTTAGTTTTGGAGCTCAAACACAGCAACTCACTTTTACCTGGAATCAACCCTGGGGATAATGTTGGTGAGGTTGAATACTGGCAGTGGACACTTGTTTTTGCCCCTTTACAACACCAAGGTGTGGAAATCATACATGTTTTATTTGCACCTCACTACGAACAATAACATGTTTATAACAGACTATATGATTACTATACAGTGTTTCTCCATGTGAGCATGTCTTTTAGAACCAAGGATACTGTTTGGAAATGTTTAATAAACTCTTGAAAGAATCCGCCCTGCAGAGATAATGGGAACATAAGATTTGGCATTTAGTGAACGAGCAGCACTATTTCAGCCTTTTCTCTGTGGTCGCTATGCGACGGTTTAAGTATTTACTAAAGTTCCACTGTAGACCTTTCATGACAAGCTGAGGGGGTTACAACAGATTAAGGAGTAGCTCAGTGGACATCATGCATTTTGGGCGGGTTGAGTTTGTGTCTACTGCATAGTTTACTACATACTGAGCTGTTTTATGTCGAAAAAAACATATTTTCATGAAACTTTAGGGCACTTAGAAAGCTTAAATGTCTGCCACTGTTATATATAATGTAGAGTTATTTTTAAATGCAAAGAATTTTGAACCATATTGGTCTGTTTTCCTGAATAACTCACCGTCACAGTTTCAATCACTCATATGTGCAGCTCAAAGACAAATACAGGGTTATTGATGTAAGATTCTTCAAGATATGGCCCATCTGTTTTGTTTCAGGCGTGGCAGTGTTTGCCTGGAAAGGGGAGTCTGAGGATGACTTCTGGTGGTGCATTGACCGCTGTGTCAACACTGAGGGTTGGCAGCCTAACATGGTACATGGAAAAGTTTGTTTTTCTAACTTCAGTGAGGGGACAGTTTATCTAGCAATATGTGAACGATGCAGGCAAACAAATGCCTTAAAATAGCTTTTCAAATTATTTCAATTAATAGCTATTTATACGTAAATATTGACCACTTGTCTGTTAGATCCTTGATGATGGAGGAGACTTGACACACTGGATGTACAAAAAATACCCCAATGTGTTCAAGAAGATCAGGGGCATTGTAGAGGAGAGTGTCACTGGGGTTCACAGGTGATTTACTGCTTCATAAGATAAACGCTTCCTATAAAATATTTAGTGACACACCCACAGCCACATGCGCCAGCATGAAGGTAAAGGCTTCTACCTCCCTCTTCTTGCCTCTCTCTAGGTTGTATCAGCTGTCTAAAGCTGGAAAACTGTGCGTACCGGCTATGAATGTAAATGACTCTGTGACAAAGCAGAAGTTTGACAACCTCTACTGCTGCAGAGAGTCAATCCTGGACGGGTAAGTCGTCTCAAGCTTCAGGTATTTGGTTGTTGGAAGGCTGAACAATAACAACGTGGAACTGATGTTGAGACTCTAGCACATTGTTTATCAGACAGCTTGATAGTGACAAAGGTTTGAAAGAAATACAAGTTAAAAGTGTGTTTTCCCCCAAGTGACGAATAAGAAAAGCTCATGATTTCAAAGCAATTACTTGATTGTCTTACGTCAGCAAATTTTTTTGCCACTTGCAAATAATTAAGATTCACAATTCATTGTTTAGTTCAGCAATTCAAAGAAAGAGTCGCATAACTTTTCCTTCACTCCCGAGTGGGTTATCAGCTGCCACATGCCCACCATCAGACCTTTTGTTTACTGTGACACTGGAGGGACATAAAGGTCAAAAAAAGATGACATTTGCATAACATCTCAGTCATTTTCTAAAGCGCTCTTCTACTGTGCACACTCTCTGGACTCTGCTCACCACTGAGCCAAACAGCCTGAGAGCCTGAGAACACAACTATTGCATTTATTACCGTTCTGTTAATTATCACCGCGGCAGCATATAAATAGTGTTGGTACTCTTTAACAACGTCTGCACATCTCTGTATCGAGTCAGTGCTTTCTGCACCGTTCATAATTTATTGCTGTTCCTTCTGATTAATCTGCAAGGTACACGGATGTCTTGTAGCAGGTGTTCCATTATGAGTTATGACACTAAGTGTCGGCATCATGAGACTTTTAGATTCATGCACTGGGATATTTACTCATGATCTGTTTGAATAAAGAGCTTTTATTCAAACTTCAAACTTCAGACTTGTGTTATCCAAAACTGTGGAACTGTCACAGAACTTTTACTGTACATCGGTGTAAATATGACAGATTTAGGAGTCCAACAGATTCAGATTGGCAGTTTCTCACTTCCACTTAAAAGTGCTAATTCTGTGCCTCAAACCTCTCTAGCTTGAAGAGAACCACAGATGTCATGTTTGGAGGCAAACAGGTGGCCGTGTGTGGGTACGGAGAGGTGAGATGCTTCTTTTAACGTTTTCATTCCACGTTAATCTCCATCATGTAGCTGTGAAAACATTCATGATGATGATGCATTGTAATGCTAATACCTCAGACAACACAGGCCGGGGACTCATAACACAGACAGCTGTCATCCTATTTCATAGGAAAGTATGTACTGTGTCTGACTGTTGAGTCTAGATGATGTTAAAGGATCAAAATCTGCAGGACCTGATAGGATTGTGTTAAGATGGCTTGTTTTTAAACACTGATGAGTCTGCTGGTCACACAGTGTATTGTCCCGTCTTGTCTTTGCAGGTTGGAAAAGGTTGTTGTGCTGCTCTGAAAGCTCTGGGTTCCGTCGTCTGTATTACAGAGATTGATCCCATATGTGCCCTGCAGGCCTGGTGAGGAACACAAGAAGTGGGATTATGATGATCCAAGCTGAATGTGTTGAATGTCAAAAATATATAAATAGGACCGACAGCAGGACGTATGAACGTAGCATAGCCAGCTAACTGGGTTTTGTTAATTATTTAACAAACATATTGTGAGACGACTGATGTTCAGCTTAGAGTACAACTCACCACATTGAGCCAACAGGGACTCCAGCTCTGCAGCTGAATTGAGTTGCGTGTCAGTAAATAATAAATAGTGTCCTGTTTGTCACTGGAGCGGAATGCTGAACCTCTGTTCTCTTTGACAGCATGGACGGGTTTAGGGTGGTCCAGCTGAATGAGGTCATTCGCCAGGTTGACGTCGTCGTCACATGCACAGGTAACTCCACTTCAAACATTGCAGGTGTTAACTGCTCATTGGGATGTACTGACACGGGATTACATTACACAGCCTTTCTATCTATACCTGTCTGACATAACAAACGGCTTCTGGTTCACAGGCCTTTGCGCTGTTCCTCAGGGCTCTGTGCTAATTATGTCCTGTGAGGCGGACGATGTAAGCTGATTGGTGGTGTCTTTCTGTATAGGGAACAAGAATGTGGTGACCAGAGACCAGCTGGACCGCATGAAAAATGGCTCTATTGTCTGCAACATGGGCCACTCCAATACCGAGATTGATGTGGTAAATTGTGCTACGAGGGAACAATTCAGAGTTGAACCATCCTACAGACTGGTTTGATCTATATTTAAACAGTGGGCATGAACCTGTCCTCGCATTGCAGGCAAGTCTTAGGACTTCCGAGCTGACGTGGGAGAGGGTGCGCTCTCAGGTGGATCACGTCATTTGGCCCGATGGCAAGAGGGTCATCCTTCTGGCTGAGGTAACTGGCCACACATGTGATGCATAAGTACAGTTGTTTATAATAACAATACTGCCTTTACTTCCTTTAATCATTTTGATGGTGCTGAGTAAAAACCGCCCATGAAGTCTCTTACACTGAGTGACTGACCAGTCTCTATTTCTGGCTTGTGAATAACTCGGCCACATGTTTGTATGCACGGTTTCATAAAATTGTAACATACTTAAACATGATTATTTTGTACACGTTGTCTTCTCCCACAGGGACGTCTCCTCAACCTGAGCTGCTCCACTGTTCCTACCTTCGTCTTGTCCATCACAGCCACCACTCAGGTACCTGTTGATGCTACCCGACAGCCTGCAATAAGCTATACTGTACAGCAGCTAAACATGCACAGTAGTTATTGCTGCCGTTATTACAGAAGTTCATACTCTATTTTATCCATAATGTGCATCCATTTTCAACAGTATTATCAATCCGTGTTTGTGTTCAGGCCCTGGCCCTCATAGAGCTGTACAACGCTCCTGAGGGACGATACAAGCAGGATGTTTACTTGCTTCCCAAGAAGATGGGTGAGGATATATAGACCTTAACCTGCAGTATAGATGTTGAAAGCTTACAAGTATCATTTAGTTTTTTCTCAGTCTGCCTCGCATGTAAGTTTTGAGAGTACATATTACGGCGGTGTAGTGGCTAACACTGTCGCCTCACAGCGAGAGGTGGAAATTCAAAATGTTCTTACTTATAACTAGTAACTTGTAATCTCAGTCAGGCTTTGACCTTTTTAGTACAGTTATACCCAGCAGACACTGGGTATCTCTTTCTTACTAAACCATATCCATTTATTCCAGATGAATATGTCGCCAGTCTGCATCTGACCACTTTTGATGCCCACCTGACAGAGCTTTCTGACGATCAGGCAAAATACCTGGGCCTGAATAAGAACGGCCCTTTTAAACCCAACTACTACAGGTACAATTCTGCAAAATGTTGCAACTATGACAACCAAAAGCTATGAAATAAATATTGCATTGCATGCTGTTACCATTTAGCTGTCAAGCATTTCATAACTAAACTTGTTCTTGGTATTCACAGGTATTAGTCTGCAAGGGAACCAGAGCTCAGCACACCTAAATATGAAGGCTACCATCACCTATCCCGAAGAAAAGAGACAGATTTATGCATTCTGTTTTTTGTACTCTTCATATGACACACGGCTTATATCTAGTTGTATTTTACCGACCACATCAGGTTTTGCTTCACTTCAGAACTGCACATGAGACCCAGCTGGCTCTGAAAAGTCAGCGCATCTAAATATATATCACTTACATCTGCAGTTCAGTATTTTCTGTTTCTATTATTATTATTATTATTATTATTAGTTTCCAAATCTGCTGGCCCCTCGGTTATTTTAGAGTTCTGATAGATGGTGAGTAATGGATCAATATATTGTGCCAAATGACTGTGACAGGGAAGGGTTAACGTTGTTGAAACCTACTCAAAGCATTTCTTTTGACATCAACATATTAAATTCCAACACTTGAAGTTCCAAACCTCTAAAAGTACAGCTCACTGAGCTTTTAGCCGCTGTTAGCTCCTCGTTTAGTCTCTCTCATCAACCTTTCGCATTGAACCGTTGGCAGCCAATAACAAAGTCGAGCTCCGAATTGTGTTTCTCAGGAGTAGGTGAACAGAATAAACTTTAATTTGTCAGGTGACAAGACGCTTGACTCCAATTAGGTGTCGACGCCTGTCTGCTGGAGGTATACGTAGGCAATTATTTGCTGACAAACGAGCCATAACAACTTGATGATCTGATTGTCAATCGGGGCTGTGTTTCTGTGAGTTTGTTTCTGTGCCCCAGTGGTCAGAAATCACTTGATGCAGCTTGAAAGCAATGTGACAGCGTCCACTTACTTCATACATTCCGTCCACAACATAGAGAATAAATGTCTTGTTCCCTCGTATCGTCCACATTACTGCTAACAATCAGCGCGTCTGGGCAAAAGAGGACCGTCGGTACATTTTGACTACGGCAAACATTAGAAGAGAGCTTGGCATTTATTTTCTTGTAAATATGTGTCTCATTTATGAGGTTTTGGTGTTTGGTTAGAATAGTATGTGCACCTCAGGGCATTCAAGTATCTCAAATGTTTGTAAATATATTTTTACCAGATCAGCACCGTCATTCTCATTACATGATTATTTACAGTACAACTGTGCTGGAGATGTTGATGCTAAAATCTATGTCACCTGTTCAGAGTTAATTGACCATTGCAACTATTTATATTCTGGGTATTCTACATGTTGAGCAGTGGTACATCCAGTGTGTTTATGCAGTATGTGTTACAGCCTCTGACCAGCCACTCTCATTATGGTATTTGCTGAAGTGCAACATTGTTAGATTTGTCGCAGGACCCTGATCATGTGTTAACTAGAGGCTGTCTCTTTTTCTGTTGAAGACTTTAACAACAGAAAAGTCATCTTCAATCCACAAATGCCCAGACATGGACAAGCATAGCTGTCAGCACATTTGCCTTGTCACGTGTGTTAGCTTTACCTTCTGTCTTGTATTGCACCATTATTATAGCTTTTCTAATAACACAATATTTAGTTAAGTTTCATGATGCTTTTCATTGTTCAAAAGGCTAAGCACAGTTTTAATTCTCTATATTTACTTACTATATTTACCACAAATGTGTGGCCACATTTGTTAACTTAGCTGAGTGATTCTTTTATAATTAAAACTATATAGTGTGCAGGTAGTAGCTGTGTCATGCTGAACTTATAGCTTTTTGACACATTTCCACATGCCGTTTATCACGCTGGTGGTCTGCGGGCCAATCTCACTCCAAACTGCTGTCGGTACTACTGTCCCTGCCGAGGGTTCGGCACCCTGTTACCTTTTTTAGGTGTTGTTCCACATGTGTTTACTCAGTATCCTGTTTCATCACCCTTCACCAAACCTCACCCACAGAGTTGCAGATAATTCCTTTATTTCATACTTGTATAGTAGCCCACGGGATGCTCCTATGAGGTGTTTTCATCTTTAAAGACATTCAGTGATGACCTCATTGCCAGCGAGAAAAGCACTGTAACCATGGTTACTGGTCAGTTGACAGTGCCTTGTGACTCACTTGGTAATTTATATTCACATGTACAACTGAGCTCCTCTCGCAGGATGGCAATGTGCCCAACATGGTTGTTATTCTGCAATATACAGTGATGGCTATGCAGCAGAACATACTCTGTTTTCTTCTGTTCTTTACCTCCAGTGGTGGAGAGCATCACTCAGCACGTATGCAGTACTGTAAGATGACTGACGGTTCTAGACATTATTCTGTTGATGGATTTTAATCTTTCATCCCAGTTTGATTTCTTGTAACAATCGGGCATTTATATTGGTTACTTAAAAGATGCCTTTTATATGTTTTAACTAATAATCGAGTCATTTTACCCTAGTTATGCCTCCATTATAGAGACAAATTAATGTGTTATTACAAGAGCAAACAGCTCGACTCTTGTCAAATTGAAATAAATAAGCACCACTGTGATTTGACTGATGTACACTGTTAATTGTTTGAAGTTTTTGACATGGAGACGATCGTTAGCTTGAAGGACATCATTTCGGCAGTGTATACACCGTTTTAAACTTCTGTGCACAGATCCCTTTAATAAAATGCTGTTTAAATTGAAAAATGACTGATGCATCATTTCACAGACAGGATTAGTGTTAGGCCTCACCTACGAGCAAATGCATTGTCTATATGTTCAAGGTTATTTTATTTTTCATTGCACAATGAAATTCAGATTGTAGTCCCATTTTGCTACATAAGAAAAACACCCCAAAAAAGTAATATATGTAGGGTGGAGGATGAGTTAAGTAGTCTCACAGCCAGAGGAAAGAAGCTGTTTTGAAGTCTGAAGGTTTGGCAGCAGGGTCAATAGGTTATGGCTGGATGGGTATTGTCTTTTCATATCTTCTCACCAATATCGCTGATGCTCAGTAGATGGGTACCAATGTTGTTTTGGGCAGTCACCCTCTGTAGAGCCCTCCTGTCCTGTGCTGTACACATCCCATGCCAGTTTGTTTCCAGTCAGGATGCTTTCTATTGCTCCTCTATAAAAGTTGACAAGAACTTGGCACGGGAATTTAGCCGCCTTCAGTTTCCTTAAGAAATACAGCCGTTAATGAGCGTTTGTTCACTAGGATGCAGGTGTGTGATGACCATGTCAGGTTGTCTGTGATGCTGATTCACAGAAACTTAAAGCCGTTAACTTGCTCCACCTCGGCTCATTTGAAGTAGACAGGGGTGTGCATCTGCGCCTCCTCTTTGGTTTTACTGCCGTTGAGCAGGAGGTTGTTCTCTGTTCAACACTCTGCAAGGTAGTTGATTTCCTCTCTATATGTAGTCTCATTGTTGTTTGTAAACCGGCCGATGACTATAGTGTCATCTGCAAACTTCTCAACCAGAGTTCTCTTGATTTGTACAACATACATAAGTACTACACACAAGTAAGTACTACATACATGGCTGGAATACCAACCAAATAATGTGTGTGTGTATTTTTCATGTAATTACTGTATAAAGAGTAATATAAAATATAATATAAAAAAAATGACAAAATACAATCCAACTCTCGCGGATGAACTACCATCTCGCGAGAGGACACTGCACAAACAACGATGGACGTCGGTGGGAACAGTGGTGGGCTTCCTGTAAACAATAAACAGAGAGCGATGCTACCCAACAAAGCCAGGGGAGAATTTACCCGCAACCCAAGAAAAGATTCAGAGGTACGTAAACAGAAGTTTTTAAAATTCAATTTCAGCTCACTAATCATAGACAGATGAGGCCTTTTCTGCTGCTGGGACACAACGATAGCTACTGTTAGCTCTGTCAGGCTAGCTTAAATATCAATTCTCATTGGACTCGGCGACGTAAACGAACAACAGCAACTGCGGTTCTTGAAAGTATTCAAGTATAGTACCTATATGTGTGCAGTGTGTCCCTTCTACTTCATTGTTAACTTGTATTATGTTGAACAGTGAGGTAGCTTAGCAGGGGCTAGCTAGCTGATGTTGGCTAGTCACAGGCCAGACTGAACTGGCTGTCAGGAGTCCAGCTGCTACCTGTTGCAAACGGGCTTCTTCTTTATAACGTACTGCTCTAGTGTATTAATATAAGTTAATTATATAGTTATATAAACACCATAGAGCCCTCACATACCTACAAAGAAAGCACAGTGAGCCAGTTCATTCTAGCATGACAGTGGGAGGTTTATGCCGAGTTCCTTTGCGAGAAAATCACTCCCAGACTTCATGTTTTCCTGCTTTGACCTCTTGTAATCTTTTGAATTCATTCAGACAATAACACACGAACATGAGAATGTGTGATGCAGAGGGATGTTTCTGTGCCACAAAGTGATGCATGATCAACAGGCGGAAGAAGTAGAATCACTACAATGTAAAATAAATACATGATAACGTTTTGCATTCAAAATGTTGCTTTGGTGAAGCACTTTTTCATCATTGTGTTTTTATTTTTATGCTTATTATAGTTTCGTATTATTCTCATTAATAGTGCAGCTGGTCCCGTGGCTTTGATTTTAACTGTGTATACTGTTAGATAGTGTAACCTATAACATTGTATATAATGGTCATATATTTATATCTGTAATATAATTATCTGTCAGATGAATGCAGTTTGATGTCAGTTAGATTATTACTCTATAGTGATTCTTTCTTCATTCATAAGGGAATAACATGTGTCATGTGATGTGTACAGGGGCTGTCTGAGTCTCCAGACATCGAGTTTAAATATGCTGATACAGACAAGTGGGCCGCAGAGCTTTCAGGTGTGTGTGTGTGTGTGTGGTCATTGAGATTTCCTGATTCCTATTTGTTCCTCTGAATTTCATTCTTGCAACATAAGGTGTGCTCAGACAATGTATATATGTTATGTATGTTTCAGAGCTGTATAGCTATACTGAAGGACCAGAGTTTACTCTCAATAGGAAGTGCTTTGAGGTGGAATTCAGAACACACGGTACGTAGTTCAACTTGAATACACTCAGTCAAATCTTAATGAATTCATAATAAACAATTTATTACATCTAAGATTAAGAAGGGATGTACATGTTGTGGCTTAGTTTCAGAGAGGAAGTGGACCGAGCTTGATGCTGCTAAGCACAGAGCTCACGCCATGCGCCTGTTGGACGGTCTGGAGGTGATTGCCAGGGAGAGGAGGCTGAAGGCTGCCAGAGCCATTCTTTACATGGCTCAGGGTAAGTCCACATTACTTAAAACTGGTTCAGCATGGAATGATTTTGTACACAGTGAACTCTTGCCATGAGGGGCATTGATCAAAATGGCAATCTGTGGTTGTCTCTTTGTACATGTGACTGTGGGGCATTTTGTTTCTCTCTAGGAACCTTTGCTGAGTGCAGCTCCGAGGCTGAGGTGCAGTACTGGATGAGATACAACATCTTTCTGCTGCTGGATGTGGGGACCCTCTCTGCTCTGGTGGAGCTGCTCAACATGGAGATTGAGTATGTTCTCCATCAGTTTTCTATCCATGCAGAAGTCATCCTAAATAGATTTATTTTTCTACAAGATGTTCGTCTACTTTTATTCAAAAGTGATACATTGTTGATTAGAAAAATCAGCTTCAGTATTGCCAGACCAAAGTGAACATAACAAAAATATGTGGGTTGGCTTTGCAAAGCTAGAATTGTATACATATTCCGCTATCATTATTATCGTAAAATGATCTGCATCAGAAGAGTATGAAACATTCGTATTCTCCCTTTCAGTAACAGTGCTGCCTGCAGTAGTGCTGTCAGGAAACCAGCCATCTCCCTGGCTGACAGCACAGATCTCAGAGTGCTGCTCAACATAATGTACCTGATGGTGGAAACGATTCAACAGGATGACCCAGCCGACAAGCCTGAATGGAAAGTCATCAGGGAAACCTTCAGAGCAGAGCTGGGTAAGTTTCACAAGCGTGAAAAGCTGCAGTCACGTCTCCGATACAAACAAAACTTGCGAGCTGAACTATTTCTAATTCAACTCTCTAATCCAGGATCTCCTCTGTTCAACAACGAGCCCATTTCTGTCATGCTCTTCGGCATGGTGACCAAGTTCTGCAGTGGTCATGCGCCTCACTTTCCAATGAAGAAGGTGTTGCTGCTGTTGTGGAAGAGCATACTGGTGAGACGCATGAAATGCTTCCACGTGATCTCTCACAACAACAAAGTATTATCTGAAGTCAAGAGACAAATTCCAATCCTCTCTCCTGTTTCAGTTCACACTCGGAGGGTTTGAGGAGCTCCAAAGCATAAAGGTCCATAAGCGTGAGGAGCTGCGTCTCCCCCCTCTCCCGGAGGACAGCATTCGAGTGATCCGCAGCATGAGAGCTGCTTCTCCTCCTGCGTCTGCATCCGACCTCATAGAGCAGCAGCAGAAACGGGCGCGCCGCGAACATAAGGTTGACATTACTGCTAATACTGATTTGACTGAGATGTAAAAAAAAAAAAAAAAAAAGCAACCTCGATACAGTCACAGTGGAGAGTCACGTCTCAGTCATTACGGGTACTTTGAACATGTACACGTTAGTTGAACTATGACTATCTGAGGTTTTAGGTGGAGCTGTAACAGAAAGAAACCTCTTCAAGAATTGGTGTTTTTACTAGATTTGCTCAAAAGTGTTTGGTTATGTTCCATAGTATGGAAACAGTATTGAATTGAAAAGCTCTACAAGCCATTTACAACCATTTAAAACATATTTTGAGTACTTATTTTTATTACGGCAGTTATCAGATTATTTCAGTCCCAAAACTGCTAAATTTAGTCTCTGAGAGACTGGTGATTACATTCAGACATTAATTGATATTGTAATCTGTACATTGTTTATATCTTACCCGATGTTACTGATTATGCCTTCATGATGTCAGTCCAAGCCTTCTTTGTGCCATTAAGTGCCTGTTTGTGTGCACATATTGAGCATCTCACATTCAGTAGCTTTTGACTCTTTTCTTAGTGGTAGTTGTGCGTTTTCCCACCGTCTTTGTGGAGCCCTGGATACAGCTGCATGTCATTATATGTTCTAGCCGTCAACGTCCTCCTTGTCTCTCGCACAGGGGTTGATTAAACAGGACAATCTTGACGCGTTCAACGAAAAGGATCCTTACAAGGCCGACGACTCTCGTGAGGATGAGGACGACAACGATGACAATGACAACTCCATAGAGGCAGAGACTTTCCCTCTAGAGAGGGACGAGGTGATGCCTCCGCCCATTGCACACCCTCCATCAGAGAGGGTGTCCTTCCCCAGAGGACTGCCGTGGGCTCCTAAAGTCAGGTATTCATTGATTCCTTCCCTAAGTACACAAATCAAGAAAGAACCGTGAGAAGGTTGAGGTCTCATTTGTCTTGACATTGTTGTTTTTGCTCCAACAGGGAAAAGGATATTGAAAATTTCCTGGAATCAAGTAGAAGTAAATTTATTGGTTACACACTTGGAAAGTAAGTTTTCTCCTCGTTTGCTGTAATTACAAAGTAACCTGAGACTAATGTTTTGTACTGTGACTGTAATGTGTGTGCTGAGTTTAATCTTGTGCATGTCTTGCAGTGATACAGACACAGTTGTTGGCTTGCCCAGGCCCATTCACGAGAGCATAAAGACGTTAAAGCAGGTATTGCATTTGCCTTCCACAATTTTGCATAAAATCTGTTTTATACCTCGAGGATATTCTAAATGGCAATCCTGCTGCTAGAGTTACACATCTCACGTTTTCATCTTTTTTCAGCACCAGTACGTCTCCATTGCTGAGATACAGATTTCAAAGGAGGAGGAGTTTCAGAAAACCCCTCTGTCTGGAGTAAGTGGAACCAAAAACCTTAATGATTCACATAACCAGGAATTATTATTATATCTGTAAACCATGTCTGGCCTGTAGAGTCATCTCAATTTGTCAACTCCTCCATCCTCCATCTGCCAAAGAATATAAAATGTTATATATTTGCTATCATGCTCTTACAAGTAGTCTTTTTTTACTCTTGCTGTCCAACACTATGCAGCATTTAAGATCCTTTTCCATGTGTTTCTAAACGAGCGATAGAATCCACTTCACATAGCAGAGGATGAGGTTAAAGTTACTGTGAGGAGCTTTTAACTGGTTATGAAACTGGTTAGTCTCAATGTAGCTGTATCGCTGGGCCTGCTGGGGGGAAGGGAGTCGAGTGAGATCCAGAACCAGGACTGTACAGGGCCAGACTGTCGGACCCTACTGCAGAAAAATAAGAGGTTTCCTAAATGGAATCTGGTGCTTTTGTCCACAGGAACCGCCAAATTCAAAATAACATGAAAGTTCCTCATACTAGCTTAAGTCTTCACTCTTTCTTCAGGTTAAGGATAGCAGAGTTTTTAAGACCAATCCGTCCCACGGCTTCATGGTAACATATTTCTATGTGTTTTATGTCTCTTCTTTTCTCCCTCCTCATCATCAGGGTGAAGAGGAGGTGGAGATGTCCTCCACTGAGCTGCTCTATCAGGGAATTCTGCCCAGTTTGCCTCAATACATGGTTAGTGCTGTTTGGGGTCGGGTATACACTGTGATAAAAACTCAAATACAAAATGTTATAGCATTAAGACAAAAAGGCAATTTGGACGTTGGATGTATCGCCCCGACATGATGTCATCAGACTGTCACTGACTCCATGGTTTGTCTCTCTGAATGTCAGATCGCTCTGCTGAAGATCCTGCTGGCAGCAGCTCCGACTTCCAAAGCCAAGACGGACTCCATCAACATCCTGGCAGACGTGCTGCCGGAGGAGATGCCGTAAGTGCTGCAGGGACTCTAACAGGGCCTTTAACAGCTTTGCCAGTTCGTCTCCAATGCAACATTGTGTTCTGAACAAGGAAAACATCCTGACTTCAGTAACAACTTTAAAATGAGTTAAATGTTTGCTTTACTTTTGATATACAGATTGAAGATCGTATAGCCAAAGGTCTGGTTAATAGGGTTTTAAAAATGACATTTTAACATAAGAGATGAAAGGTTGTCTGACCTCAATAAACCACATCACAGTGAAATGCTTTGTGAGGATCTTAGGTTAACTTAACATCGGTGATCTCGTTCTGCAGGACTACAGTGTTGCAAAGCATGAAACTTGGTGTTGATGTTAATCGGCACAAAGAGATCATCGTGAAGGCCATCTCTGCCGTCCTGCTGCTGCTTCTGAAGCACTTCAAACTTAACCACATCTACCAGGTACAGACATCACGCACCTTTGATATCACAAGTCAGGACTACATGTAACCGTATTAGATATTTCCCTTAATAGTCAAAACGTTTAAAGCACCTCTTGATCTCCTTATTTATTTTACCTTGATACAAGGAAATGAATAAATGTCCTTCTCCACTGAGCATGTCTTTCTGTGCTTATCTCATAGTTTGAGTACATGGCTCAGCACCTGGTGTTTGCCAACTGCATCCCTCTCATTCTGAAGTTCTTCAACCAGAACATCATGTCCTACATCACAGCTAAAAACAGGTACTTTCAGGGCCTCTTTAATGACAAAAATCACAACTTTCATTGGCAATAACTGTCCTTGAAGGGAACTTAAATGGCCTTTATTTCACTGTGCTTATTTTTCCTTTCCCTGATAGCATTTCGGTTCTTGACTTTCCTTATTGTGTGGTGCACGAGCTCCCGGAGTTAACAGCAGAGAGTCTGGTGAGTTTTCAGTTGTTTTATAAGTTTTCACCGTCTGATAAAGCAGAGTTTTAAGTCAAAAGCAGAACTGAAGTCATCTTTAATGTGGACATTTTGTCTTTTCCAGGAAGCGGGGGACAATAATCAGTTCTGCTGGAGAAATCTGTTCTCCTGTATTAACCTGCTGAGGATCCTCAACAAACTGACCAAGTGGAAGCACTCCAGAACAATGGTGAGCTCATTTCTCATCAAGTAGCATTCACCGTGACAGATCGCATCATGTTTTCGACAAATTGCAAATCTAATGTTTCGTCGTTTCCCTCCCAGATGCTGGTGGTGTTTAAGTCTGCTCCCATCCTGAAGAGGGCGCTGAAGGTCAAGCAGGCCATGATGCAGCTTTACGTCCTCAAGCTGCTCAAAGTTCAGACCAAATACCTGGGCCGTCAGTGGAGGAAGAGCAACATGAAGACCATGTCCGCCATCTATCAGAAGGTCCGACATCGGCTCAACGACGACTGGGCCTACGGGAACGGTGAGTGGGAACACAAACAAAGAGCCAGTATGTTTACATTCAGTGGTGATGGAAGCTTCAGCCTGGAGGAGGAAGCACAATAAAATACAAGTTGTGATGAATATATTTTTATCATTACATTGTAGCGTGTGTATACTTTAGAATTTTTATTAGTGGTCTTAATTAGAGTTGACACACGTAGTCGAGTGACAGAAAATTACTCAACAATTTAGATCATCAAATAATCTTTTGGGTTTTTAAAAGTCAAGATGGCAAAAAAAATCGAATTGTTTTCTTTGGGCTTTGGACAAAACAAGCTTGGGTTTAGGAAATTAACCAAACCATTGATGAGATGAACGCCAGATTATTCGGTAATGAAGATAATCGTTAGTTGTTGTCCAAGTCGAGCTCAGAACCAAAGGGCCCTAAACCTGACCTGCTGCTGTTGCTTGTCCTGGAGCAGATCTGGATGCCCGTCCCTGGGACTTCCAGGCCGAGGAGTGCGCTCTGCGGGCCAACATCGAGCGCTTCAACAGCCGCCGCTACGACCAGAGCCACATCAACCCGGACTTCCTGCCTGTGGACAACTGTCTGCAAAGCGTACTGGGACAGCGGGTGGACCTGCCCGAGGATTTTCAGATGAACTATGACCTCTGGCTGGAGCGGGAGGTCTTCTCCAAACCCATTTCCTGGGAAGAACTGTTACAGTGAGAATCAAGGACTTTTATATAAAAAAAAAAAAAAAAAAAAAAAGTTTCAATCAGGAGTTCAGACAAACACCGACAGTGCTCTCAGCATTAAGTTTCATGTTGTGTACGGACTGGAGGTGAGGGATGGATTTATTTCTGTAAAGGGGAAGGTTTAGACTTACAATCATGTTTTACAACAATCCAAACAAACACTTTACATGATTTACACTTTTCCCTACACTAATGCCACCGACAGCTGATGGTGAATCCAGCGCTAAATCTTGCTCCACATTTAGACTTAACCCGACCCCTACTAGCTTTACATGTGCAGGTCTTTGCTCTGTGTGCCTCTCACCTGCTTCAGTAGGTTTGAGCTTGAAGCACTACATGACAGTTTGTTCTTAAAGAGATTTATTTGGAGTAAATTTAACTGTTTCAATTATTTTTGTTGAGGCAGCACATTTAACATGTTAATAAATATACCACTCCGTTGTACATCTCATGAGTTAATCTTCTTCAGATATATACGAAAGGAACGGGGTCCGGGCCTTTTAGTCTTAATTACTGTTTGTACAATTAAAAACATTACTTTTTAATAGTTATCACCTGAAGAGGACAAACTTTCATCTGACTTTCCCTTTGTTGTTGCGCTACATTTGCAAATTATATATATTTTATTTGCATTATTCTGGGTTTCTCATCCGACACGCCTTTACTCTGGGACCATGGAGGAAACCATTCAGGCCCTCATTGACCACCAGGCTGAATGGACATGAGAATACAGCCTTGATTTAACTTGTTTTATTTTCAACTCGGTATCTTAATTAGCGTTGTTGTGTGGAAGAACTGTTTGCACATGTTAACATGATGTGATTGTGGGAGAGAAAAGAGAAACATTTACGTTTCGTGATTTGAGATCAGACGTTTCTGAGCTTCATCAGACAGCTGCTCTGAACTGAACGGGATAACTCTGTTTCTCTGTCTTTTTATTCTTTTAAACTTTATTTTTGTTTTATAAGAAAGGTTAATGAAATGACAATACATGTAAATTGTGAAACTTATTTATCATGGCTTTGTCTTAGTTTTACATGGACTTAAATACTGTAATAAAATGATGTCATTCGTGGAGCATTTGTTTTTCTTTTCGAAAGATTATTTTGAGATGTTTGCCTGTGTTTGATACTGTCAGTAGAGATACAGACAGGAAACGTGGAGGATTGTTTAAATCTGCTAAAACGAGTCTCTCGTGTTAAACATGAACTTCAATAACTCTGATGTAGATTCTGAACAGCCAAAAATTGTAAATTAAAATTTTGGCTTCAAGTCTTTTCAGGGCAACATGTCAGACCAAGATTGTGTTCGTGTGTGACACAACCGACATTTGGTTGAGAGAGACCTTTCAGCAATTTTGGAACCGCCACGTTTGAGTGAAACTTTGAGTGGACTTGAAAAAGAGAAACTGGTGAACAACTTTGAACTATTACTTTAACACGTGCATAGGCAAAGTTAAATCAGCAAGTCAAAGAACATGTAAACAAGATCTCACTGACTGGTCTTTGATGCTGTGTAAAGAAGTATTATAGTTGGATACAGAGATAATATGAAAAAGTAATTAAGTCAATGAAGAACACTTATTAACTTTCTACCCATAACTAACTATCATAACAGCAGGAGATCCTCTACCACCTCACTGTCTGCAGGGCTCAAGGCACTACCGCACCACCATTGTTGGCCTTTCTCTGTCCCTCCCAAATATTTGAGTCCCTCCCTTCTCTGACTTCAGGAAACCGAAACAAAAGCAGAAATAAAACCAAACTTCTGACAGCCGCCCCCCTTTTCTCCACTCATCCATGGCGGAGCCTCGTATCACCCTGAAGACCAGCCGCCTTTGCTGTCCAGTCTGCGGCGAGCTTCTCAGGAATCCCGCAACTATTTCTTGCGGGCACAGCTTCTGCACGCGGTGCATCCACAACCGCTTGGATCGTGACGAGAGGAAGTACCGCGCCTGCAGCTGCCCTGAATGCGGTCACAAGTTTCCCTCCAGACCCGAGCCGATCAAGAACACCGCTTTGGCCGACTTGGTGAGGGACATGGAGAGGCGTGGTGCCAAGAGGAAAGACTCGGGCCCGTCCATGCAGACCCCGAAGAGAGCAGGCTTGCGCTGTATGGAGACCGGCACTTCATCAGGAAGTAATCTGTGCGTGAGTCACAGCAGGCCTCTGGATATTTACTGCTGCACGGACGAGCAGATCATATGTGCGCTGTGTGCTTCAGCTGAGCACACGGGACACACAATTGGGTCTGTGGGAGAGGAAAGGAGGAGGAAACAGGTACGTGTAACAAACAAACAGAAACATTTCACACAGGTGTATGTTTGGATGAAGTGATGACAGTTTACATCCATAAGGACCTGAAAGGTCAACCTCACTGTGACGTCATAATGTTATTTTCTGTCCATTATTTAATGTCATACTGACTCAGGAACAGAAGGCGAGATTGTGATCATACATCACATTTGGTCTGATACTGAACTGGTGACACTAATCTTGGGTGTCCTTGAAACAGACAGGAAGATTTGGGACTTGGAGTCAAGTCACACATTGTGACTTGAGACTTGACTTTCAGAAAATGACTTGTGAGCATCTCTGGGTTTCAGAGGCTCGAGGGACGTGTTAAATTACAGTAGATTATGAACTGTCATTAGTTGGAGACCCAGTGTAATTGTACAATACGTTAGTACTCTTAACTGTAGGTTACGTTATCAATATTTTAGTGTAACCCTGTAACGTTAGTCTATGTCCATATTTAGGGGCAAAATACAGTTATTTGCTTTAAAGGAAGGTTTTCATGTCATATTGTAATGGCCTGTTTAAAGTGATCATAAGCCAACTAATCAATTCTGATACTGTATGCTAAAAGATAAAGGAGTGATGATACAGTACATGCTCTGAATTACTTAGATATGCCGTGTTTACAGCAGAACGGATGAGAGAACGCTCATTACAACCTTAGGAGACGTCAGACCTGACTTGACTTGAAACTGTGGCGATTGTACAGATCTTGAGCTGCCGGGTTGAAGATGTGTGTGAAGCATCCACGCTTTATAATTTGTTGCGTAGAAATTGTTTCATAGAAAAAAGGCCGCCAACCTACATGATGCACTTCCAACGGGCACAAAAATAAGGATGCCATATTGACAACACCAGGCTCATAAAACCAAACAAACAATGTGTGTTTCTATCCAACACATGCTGAAGACGGAGCTGAGGGACATACAAACAAAATCCAAGCGGATTCTCCAGGAACAAGAAAAGAAATGTAAGAACATGGTGAAGAATCTCAAACTGATTCAGGTGAGGAGAACATGTGGCTGCTTCATACTGAGTGTACTCTGTATCCCAGAGAACAAATGGAATAGATACAGGACCCAGATCTCACACTTGTGTACATAACAGGAGGAGGAGGGAAGAGAGACACAGGACTACTGTGAAACCGTCTTGGCCGGCATCATTGACTCCCTCCAGAGACATTACATGTCCGTGAGGGAGCTGATCAGAGGACATGAGAAGGAGGCAGCAGCTCAGGTCCAGAGCTCCCTGCAGACCCTGCAGGTGAAGATGGAGGAAATGAAGAAGAGAGATGCTGAGCTGGATCGTCTGGCACAGACTGACAGCGATGTTCATTTCTTGCAGGTAACTTTGATCACAATCTCTAGAAACGTCACCTGAACCTGTATAACAGATGGTGCTCTATTTCTCTGTGTCTTTTCCAATCCTCTCTCCTCACAGGGCTGGTCCTCAATGCAGCGCCTCTGTAAGAAAGACCATCTCCATCATCTCCACGAGGACTCGGAGGATCCTCTTCTCCCCTTTGAGTTTACAAAGAGAGCCGTCAATCAGCTCGGGAAGCAACTGGAGGAATTTTGCGACAGAAAATTTGCATCCCTCTCTCAAACTGGTGTGTGTCTTTGTTGATGTGGAAATCATTTAACATCAATCTTATTTAATCTGTATACAGTAGCTATATATTTCATGGCTTTTATTCACTATTTATTTAATAGCTGACGGGGGAGAGCAGCAGGAATCAGAAGAAGAGTCAGAGGAGGACGACATGCAGCAAAGATGTGAAGCCAGTAACACACAGTCCCATGGTCTGGACTTAAAAATGCTAGTTTAACATTATTATTATTATTAGTAGTAGTAGTATTAATAGCATTATTAGTATTATCATTATTAATACTATTATTATAATAATTATTTAAACTTCAGAGGAAGGTTGTAAACCTCGTCTGTGGATTAAAACATATTTACCACCATGTGAAGCACTGCCCTTTGTAAAGTTATTACAATTCTTAAATAGAGCAATCTTTCTTTAGTGGAGGCAGCTCCTGTTGATTGGCTCAGTAGCTTCAGGTGTGAAGCCCAAAACACACTTTCAGAACTTGTCTAAACAGCACTTTTTATTCCAGAAATCCCCACACTATAAATGATTACACTTAATCCAAAGGTTATAGATGGAAATTATAATCCTGTCAACCCCAGGTGCAGCATGCAGTACGAATTTATAACCTCTGGATTATGTGTGATAATTTGGGGTATTAGGTTTTGCATTATAATTTGTGCTGTTGTACACAGCAAGTGATTTACATTATGTCAAAGTGTTAAACGGTGCATCGCGTGCATCAGTATGGTAATCACTAAAAATCTTAATTCAAGCAAGAATAATTGGTTTTTGAAGGGCCACTTGATACAAATGTTTTTTAAAAAGTCAACAAATTTATTTTATTTAACCATACAAATAGTTTAGTTTTTGTTTTTGAACTGACCCTTTTTAAGGTAAAGGCTTTTATTGTGACAGATGTCTGTGACAAATTTTAATCAAATTAAAAAAAGAGCCTAGCCTTCGTTAGTGTTATAAGTAACACCTGTGCTTTTCCTACTATGACAAGTCGAGAGTCTGTCAGTGACACTGAATGATGCTCTGAAATGGTCTCGTAGGTCTCTCTGGAGTTAACATGACTGAACACAACGTGGAGCCTAAAACCAGAGCAGAGTTCCTGCAGTGTGAGTCTTCTCACTTCACTACATTTATGACAGCTGTAGCCACTTTTCAGTTTCAGTTTTTACCTAAGATAATAAGCCTATAGAATACAACATATTGTAACTTGCTTGTAATTTTACAAAAAATTTTACGCTATTAATCTGAATAAATGTTAATGGCTGAAATAGGTAAACAATCCACAAGATATCATAGAAGAAAAACAAATATGCACGTTTGCAGCAGAATTTCTTCCTTCATCTCTCATTAATCATCTCAACTCTCAGATTTTTCTTGTTGACCCTTGAGTTGAGAACTACAAACTGTATATAAAGAAGTTAAAACTATCTCCACTTTGTCACATATGATAATATATCAGTCACTGGGAACATGTTTCTGCAGAACATGTACTTCTCACACATCTGTACTTTAACTTAAGTAGTCAGAACCTTTACTTACTAAACTAAAGGATCTGAATTCTTCCTCCACTACTGTATGTAGACCGCGTCAACCACAACTGTGTTCCCAAAGTGCTCCTTTTATTTTTACATGTTTGTCATCATCACCTCAGATGCCTGTTGCCTCAGCCTGGACCCCACCACGGCTCATGAGGACCTGGTTATTTCTGCAGGAGACAAAGAAGTGAGGCTGAACCCTTCCGAGTTTAAGAGCCAAGCTGTTCGTTACCCGCAGAGATTCATCCACCGACGGCAGGTGCTGTGCCGGGAGGGACTGCAGGCCGAGCGCTGCTACTATGAGATCGAGGTGGAAGGAGACAAGGCTGAGATCGCCCTCGCCTACAAAGGAATAGACAGAAAATCTTTCACCCAACGATCAGCTTTTGGGGCCAATGCAAATTCCTGGAGCCTTGATCGCGCCGCAAACTACTCTGTGAGCCACAGAGCTGACAGCATCCAGCTCAAAACATGCCCCAGTCAACGCAGGCTCGGCGTTTATCTGAACTTTAAAGAGGGAGCTCTGTCATTCTACGAGGTGTCAGACAGAATGATGTTTCTTTACAAGGTTGATGCTGAATTCACAGAGCCTCTGTATCCGGGCTTCTGGCTCGGACAGAAATGTTGCATCAGTATCTGTGATTTGACACCGGACGGACTGTGACCTATACCTGAGAGGTTCGTAGAAAGGCTGGGGTTTGAAGCTTTGTTGTCTTCGTATGGGGAGCCACATCTTGACAGATAGTTAGGTTGATGAAATGGGACAAAATGACAAATTTGTGGACATTGGAAGTAACAGAAATGCAATGGAAAGTGAAGAACGTAACCGCCCTCATACAAAATCTCATTGTGCTTTTTTATAAGTAAATAACTAAAATGAATTTAAAGTAAATCTCAGTTTTATAAGCGCCCCCTGGGATTACCTCAAGGACCTCTGCAGGACCCGATTTGGGACCACCGTCTTAGAGTTTTAATGTATTACTTGAACAATCGGCTTGTTCTCGATAATCAAACTGAACAGATTAATTAACAAACGCAGCATTCTCTTACACGTTGAACATCATACTGTTTTTAACTTGATATTATTTTCATGTCTGCATGCTGTTGTTTTTTAAACAATAAGAAATGTAGGTGATATATATATATATATATATATATATATATATATATACGATTAAAATATAAATGTAACCAAAGGAATGTAACCCATGGGTTTCTGCCTTTGAAGATTTGCTGGCCTTCCTGTGCATGCAGGTGGCCGATTCTATTTTTAGACACGCACGCCTGCTGCTGCAGCTGCTGCAGCAGCTGCACACATACATACACTTGTTAAACCTCATCCGGTACATACTTAGAGTGACATTAAAACAATACCATATTTACCTAACATAACATATTGATATCGGTATGAAATTTAGGATGCCAGGTCTAGTCCTCTTGTAGAGTAAAACGCCATAAAAGACGAATTTGTAAAAACCTATTTTGTTGTATTTGACCTTTGGCCCACCTCCCACATAGACATCCACAGATACACACATCCAAACCCACACACATGTATTAATCTTTTTCTCATTTATCTTGCTTAAATATATCCGATTATTGCATTAATTAGGGTCGTGATTCTACTCGCTTGGTAGAGTAGATGGCCTTGCAAAAGAGTACATATATTTGAAAGATTACTCTGTTATTTAACCTTATGCTTTGCCTATGTGACCGAGGATGTTAATGTTTCAACCAAATGACCAAACTTATCTACACAGCTTGTCGACAAAATACCCTCGTGAATTATTGTTAACTTTTGGTTTGTTTTCCACCTGTGAGCAATGTGCCATATGTCCTGAGTTCATGCAGAGTTTATGGAGTTCACGTGGCTAGACCCGTGAGTTTGTCCCTCAGCGGCAATAAATAGAGATGCTTCTACAGCATCGAAGCGTTTTATATATATATATTGTATAAAGTGTTGTTAAACAAGAGCCAGCCATTGTTGTGGTTTATTTTCAATGTCGATGATCAGCTTCTTTGACTTTATGACTTATATTAAAGCTCAATACCTAACAGCTGGCTTAATAACTGGTTGCTATCTGACTCGTGGTGAGATACCACAGAATTCGCACTAAGAGGAACTCAGTAACGAACACCCACAGAACACAAGACAGATTGGAGTTTCTTCAGTTCACGCACGTTTGTCATGGAGACGGTTTAACAACTTAAATACTTACATTGATCATTTCGGTTCGTGCGTTGTTTCATCAGCTGAATCAGTTCCAGGCTTCGTACTATTCAATATATCACTGTGAAGCTGTTAACCTCCTGGCCTGAACTAGACATCTGGCCTCGCACTCAGACATCCTGTTTCTTATGCGACACTGCGTAGGCGATACTGCTACAGGCCTTGACGGGAACTTACATGATTTTAATGAGCGTGAAGTACATACAAAATGTGACCGTACATAACTTTATGACTGTGAGACTGTGAAGATACATGACTTAATTCCACACAATGAATATGATTGTAGATGTAAACATTTTTCTCCCACACCATGCTGGCAGCAGTGCGAGTCTGTTCTTAGGTACTAATGTCAGCATGCTCACTCGCTCATAACAATGCAAACATGCTGATGTTAAGCCGGTATAATGTTTACTATCTTAGTTGAACTAATTAGCTTCATAACATTTCTGACAATGTCACATTCCCAACGTAAACTTGTTTTTTTAATCCTCAACACAGTTTTGACTACATTTCAAAGCAGTAAAACAAAATCCGACAGCAGCTTGTCCACACTTTATTATTAATATTTTTTACAATAATTGTCAATATGATACAATCATATGATGACTGAGGAAAGAGAGACAGAGAAATTTAAAGAGACATTTATAAACGTGTCTCCTGTACAGGCAGTGCTTGAAACGTGTGCTCAGTTAGGTCCTGCACCCACAGGTAAAAGAAGGAATCTACACACATACACATATATATATAGTTCACACTCACACACACACACACACACACACACACACATTTACTATATTTACATACGCACACACACTCCAGCACTTGTAAGCAAAAGTTGTAACATCCCTTTGGCTATAAGGGGCAGATCCTAATCATTGCTATTATCTGACACTAATGTGTCAATCTTAAATTGATCTGCAGTCTAATAACTTGATATTGCTTTTACACAATGAGGACAACAAAACAAACCCTAACGTTTTTTGCAGTCCGAGTGAAAAAAAGTGCATTAATCACATTCATTATTACTTTATATTGCATTTACTGCTAAAACAGTTACTTTTTGAGACAATGATATACTTCACACGGGTAAAATCTATCTTGATTACACAAGATTATTTACAGACTTGAACAACGGAGAGAACTCTACTTGACACACTCTCAGCAGGAAGTGCCTGGTTCACACTGACTAAAACAAGACGAGATAAAACAAGACTTTAAGTTTAGAGCCACACTAGCCAGTAAGACAGGGATGCTCTTTACACACAGAACACAAAACTGATGATTGGATGAAGGAAGAAATGTAGCTCTAGAGGGGCAAAAAATGAGGACAGTTTTGAATTTTGGATGCATACAAAGTTAAGACATGAGCGTGATGTGTGCTCATGTGGGCCTCGATGTATCAGTCCATCTCCAGTAATGTGACAGAAGAAATAAGGACACAAATAACACATAACACAATGGCTGTTCTGTCGAAATAAACATGTCTGAATGTGGTCCTTCTGATTTGGCTCAACTTTCAGTCTAAAAGCGCTGATTCATCAGTCTCAGCTGAAGTTGGGCTCAGCTGTGCTCTTGCAGCGTTCACGTCATATCATTAAGACCATAATAAAAAGCGACCGAGTTGGAAATTAAGATTCATGTCATCTTCCAAGTTAGTTATTCCAAGTCCGAGATATCAGGAGTAGTGATTAAAAAAAATAACAACAAAACTATTGGCAAAATGGCTGCAAGCCAGGCTGGCAGTTACATTTAAATCAAATTTCAATATTAACACTGATTGAATAAATTCAGCTAACTTAACAGCTACATTGTTTGTTTGTGTCTGATATTGCCTGTTAATGAACTGCCCAAATATGCAAAACTGTAACAGCTAATTCAGGCTTTTTAAATGACTATAAGCCAAACAGTGGGGTTAAATTGTAATACTCCAAAGTCTGAATAACAGGAAGTTTTACTGTTTTTGCAAAATTTGAGCCGAGGCTTGTTAGCATCTTGACATGTATGCTAGTAACTAATGGATTTGTTAGCATGGTGATATTTAACAAAACATTTAACATGCGAGGTTAGTTAGTATGCTAATAATCTTGTCAGGCTAAAGGTAACAGCGTGTTAGCGCTTTTTCACCCAATTAGCAGAGCAGCTTGCTAACATTTAGCATGATGCTATCTTAGCATTCATCTTAATATATCTGAGGCAGACAGGAATTGTGTGTGTTGCTCAAGAGGAAAGTTTGACCTGCTGGAGGTGGTGCTAGTGTGGCTAAAAACAAGCAGACCGCTAAAGCTAAAGTGATGGAGTTGCAGCCAGAAGAACACACAGCTCTCATGAACACAACAGACAACCAGCTACTGCTGTCCATAAAGACTACACTTCACATCACACATCACCTCCCAGCAGCATTTTCACATCGCACAAAAAGAAATAGCTACACAGACTAGAAAATAGACAAGTCTTTAGATATACAATTTAAATAACCATCACAGAAGATGAAAATATATACTGGTCACTTTTAAAAGATAAATATTTGTTGTTTATCACATCTACAATGCAAATATACAGGAATATAAATATAGTCCATTTAATCCTTAATGCCATTGATTTGAATATTGTGATAAAAAAATAAATAAAGGTATCCTCTTCCATGTAACAGGAACGTGAGTGTGCTCAGTGGGAACTTGTTGACAGTTTTTGCACAACTATTTGCTACCAGTGTGTACGACAATGAATCAGTTCAACCAGGAGTCAAAGATCTACATCACAAAGAAAACGTGGGGGTGTCTGTCTGTTTCAATAAGACTTAATGAGGTCCATTATTCCACACATATACAGAAACTGTGTGCATTTGATGTGTACATTAATGTGTTGTTTGTGCATGTATGTACAGTTTGTCCAAGGCTTACAGAAGTTCATACTAAGTTATTTGATGAGTTTATTACTTTATTTGGATTTTCGTTCCTTCAGTTCCTAAATCTTTTGGTCCATTGCTGATTTTCCTATTTCTTATTCATTATGTTTTTGGTCCAAAGTGAAAGTTTGTGCTCTAAAATAAATATTTATTGCTGACTTAATATGTTAATATATGTAGCTGAACATATTAATTCCTGGTGTGCATAAGTCTTTAAAACAATACATCAACAATTAGGGTTAGTAATTCACTTGTGCACAATAATTGTGTGAAATCTATTTTGTGCTTTTGTGGCCTAGGAGGAAGAAACTGCATTAAGCGAGGAATCAACGTTTGTTTCAAATTCTCATGAAAAAGCTGTGCTTTCTGTTACTGTATGATAACGAGTGCCTTGTTTTTCAGTATTTTCTGTTTTTTCTGCAACATAAATATATAGATTTGAAATGTTTTGTTGTCTACTATGTACTCTTTGGTGGAGAAACTGAAATGAGGGATTTTTACAAGTTATAATGTTTGTGTAACGGATGATGAAATCATTTACATATTACTATACTGCATACCACTGTTTACAATACTGGCTACACACAAAACACAGAGGGAAATGGGAATTGGACATAAATGGATGTCTTTAGAGCAGCCTTAAGTATAGTTTACAATACACAGAGCCCTGAAAACAGATCTGCGCTGTGAAAAGTGTTTTCCAGCTCAAATATCAGAACAGAGGTGCTTGTGTAGACATTATGTATGTACTGACTGAAATCCCTGCATAATACTTCATAGAAAAGAACTTGAACTGTATGGCTTTGACACACTGTACCACTAGGGAGGACAGGCTTTAATCCATAAAATAATTAAACTCACATTCATCTTGGCTCTCTTTGCCCAGTGTACAGAAAAAAAATAGTTTAACCAGCAGGACCACACCGGCTCCTCTACATTCATTCTTTCAGATCCCCTGAACTCATCCACGGGGATGTGCATTAAACTGCGTGAGTGTGTGTGTGTGTGTGTGTGTGTGTGTGTGTGTGTGTGTGTGTTGGGGGGGGGGCTGTGTCTGCTGAGGATCCTTATACTAAGGCAGATCACAGAACTTTATCTTAATAAACTCTTTGATGTTATATACAGAATAAATACAAATCTCATTCTGATATGTTTGATCTACTGTTAAGAGTGACTTTAGTCTTTTTTTTAACCTCCTGCTGCAGGTGGTTCCTTGGTGTTATTTTGAGAAGAGTGTGTTCAGATAAATTGGGCGGCTACATACAGTTTTGTAGCGTTAGTAGGGCAGTGGTGGGGATTCTCGGCTCTGCAGTGACCCTCGGTAGAAACTTCATGGCTAGACGGTGAACTGTGCTACAGGACTGGGTGTCAGAGTGTTGTTTGGACAGCAGTCAAGAGTCAGACTCTGGTGTGGCGGGCGTGGTCGGTGTAGTCGGTGTGGTGGGGCTGATGGCAGCGTTCTGGTAACTCGTACCGTAGCAGATGTTTGGAGACAGGGAGTTGGTGTCCAGGGTTTTGGTGCCTCCTGGAGTCAGGAAGGCCCTGCTTGCTGGCGCTGATGGTGGCGCCTCGCCGGGCTTGGCGCCGAGAATGAATCTGGACTCGTCCTGCTCCTCCAGGTTGGATATGTCCTTCATCATGGTTTTACGGTAGGAGACAGACAGCTTGTTGGAGCCGTCTGACATTAGGTTGAAGCGACGGGCGATGTAGACAACAGGAAGAGGAAGCATGGCCACGATGATGAGAGAGAAGCACATGCCCAGTGCCCAGGGAGGATAACTCTCGAAGCGTTCCTGGGCCTGCAGACACACACACACACACACACACACACACACACACACACACACACACAAACTGACCAGCTCTTCGACCCAGGCATTGTATCCTGGTGGACTGATGGCCATCTCTACGACAGTGGCTGCGATGAGCACAATGAGACACAGAGGGGAGACGTACTTCCACAGGTAGAAATAGATTATACATGGTCGAAAACCCAACATGTCCTCCAGATCCTGCATGAACCTGACAGAGAAAGAACAACAAAAACATTACAGTAATGATTAAGTCACTTTGTACAATTGTATGCTTATTTAATACTCCTATGTTCCACTTTTATTTCATTTTTGAGCGTGATGAATTTCAGACACACACAAACATACAGCCAGTTGTACCTTTTTGTGCCATAAATCCAAGCGACAGACACATTCTCCAGGATGACCACTACTGTGAGAGGCAGTCCGGCAGAGTAGTCGTCAAACATTGTGACATAGTAATTCCCTGAGCGTTGAACAAACAACAGACCACAGAAGAAGGCCACAATGCAGCAACACACTGAAACAAACCCACAGAAGACAAACAATTAGCCTTCAGAGGAAAATAAATGGAAAATAAAATGTTTGTTTACTGTGAGTGTTTTGCATTCACTGCACTCAGAGCAATAATTCAAAGCCTGATGTGCTTTAATGCAGTGCTGAGTAAGGAGATTCAACTACTAATAGCACACACTGTCCTGTCAGTGGGGCAGGTCTACCTGTGAAAAGCTCCTTCTGGACCTTGTAGCTGTCGAGGACAGGTGTGGTGATGCCGGTCATGGTGCCGATCATGCTGCCCAGACCGAGGTTGATGAGCATGAAGAAGAACATTACTGACCAGAACGGAGACGCCGGGAAATGGGTCATGGCCTCTGTGAAGGCGATAAAGGCTAGGCCGGTGCCCTGAACAGACTGCAGAGAGACGGTCAGAGGACTGAAATTAAGTAACAGACTGACAGGTGGAAAAAGAGTCAAACACAGAACATGCTCAGGAGTCGGCTGTAGCGGGGCTGTGCCGAAGACTTGCCTTGTTGAGCTCGTCCTCCAGGAGACAAGGCTCCAGACCTAGCTGGGCGAAGCTGCCCTCTTTTACTGTCTTGATGACGCCGTACATCTCAGCGTAGTCTGATGTGGTGATTTGGGAGAAGTTTACATGTGGAGGGATGAGATCGTGGCTCAGGACGTTAGAGTTGAGGTATCCCAGGATCTTCTCTGAATTCCTACGGAGATAAAATAAACATAATCCACAGATATCAAGCAAACTTAAACATACATATTATATACAGGCAAGGGCCGGACTGTATATAATAATAAATGTATTTATATTGCACCTTTCAATAAAAACATGACTGAGACAAAGCCGGGTAAAGATTTAAAGCTCAAATCCAAGCAGCACATAGGCCCATACATAGTAGATGCATAGATACTGGACATTGGACTGCATTCCTGTTGAGAGTTAGTATGACGAGGAACAAGGACCAGTAGGATCCTCTGACAGGTGTCCCTCATGATATTGATTAATTAGTAAACCAACAGTATATCTCATCGGCCCAGCTGTCCCACACGCCCCCGGGGAAACGGGATCGGAAAAAAATATATGTTGTGAAAATTCAGGCTAAATTTCTTGGTTAATCTACAGTACGCATCAGGAAATAAACCATTTCTTGTGAACAAACAAGTGGCTGAGTTGGTCACGCTTTGTTTTTGTGCTCATATTTTCTATTTTTGGCTTAAAGATTTTTACATACACCATGATTGGTGCTTAAGGATAAATAGCTTCTGCAAGTGTTGAACTTACTCTACGATACACTTTTCATTCATGATGTTGGCCTTGAAGCCCAGCACGGCGAACACTACCAGCGTGGCCAGAATGGAAGTGACGAAGTTGATGAAAGAGACGAGCACTGCATCAAAATGACAGTTGTTATCAATCTTATTGTAACTGGAGAAGGCTATGACTCCTCCAAACCCCAGCCCCAGGGCGAAGAACACCTGGGTGGCCGCCTCCCTCCACACCTGCGGCTCCAGCATCTTCTCCAACTGTGAGGTATCGAAAGAGAAAGTCAGATTGTTGAGCATTTGTCAGCATGGTTGATTAAAAATACTGCGAGGAACAAAGTCTCACCTTGGGAGTGAACATGTGAGCGATGCCATCCACTGAGCCCTTCAGCATCAAACCTCGGATCAGAAAACAGAACAGCACCACATAGGGGAAAAGAGAGCTGAAGTACATCACCTGAGAAAGAGGAAAATGTAAACATACATTCAGGTCAGGGAATCCGGTGGTCTCCTACATGTTTTCTGTCATCACATCGTACATTTCTGCCTTATCCTCTCCACTACCTTCCCAGAGGAGGCGATCCCTCTGATGACGGCGAGGCAGACGATGATCCAGGCCACCAGTAGAGACAGGGTCATTTTCACATTGAGGCCGCCGCTCTCTGCGATGGTGCTGGTGATGTTCAGAGTCTGACGGTACCAGAAGTAGGTCGTGGCCGAGCTTTTTTCGCACTCCGGCTCCAGAACTGCATGTTTGGCAGACAGAGCGAGATGGAGCTTTAGTTTGGGTGTTAATGAGAAATCGGGTGTGAAGATGCAGCAGGGAGGTTTGGATGTCTTGGAGAGGGCAGAGGGAGAAGTATAATGAGTGTTTGCTCGAGTCAATATCGCAATTCCCGGCTGGTTTACACCTCTCGGACGTGAAGGGAGCTAAACAAGGTCATCTGTGTGCTTAGTATGCAAAGCCTGAACTTGCAATTCACAACACCTGAGATTTTTTACTGAACACACAGTACATTCCTATACCTCAGGGAAATTAGAGTATTATATGTACTGTATGTGAGTTTAGAGTTAACAGTGTTGCGTTTCTCCACATGATATTGCAGGATGGTGCAGATTCACATACAAAACCCACATAAACACATACAGGTGCAGGTAAAGCTCTTTTCAGATGTGTGATGATCTACATCTGATGAAATCTATTGGCCTCTGCTAAATTGATTACTGTCTTGTTCCATCAAGATGCTGTGTGTGTCACACTGGATAAAGTGAAATGTTTTACTCTGCTCCCTGTCTTTCTGCCAGGAGCCTCCGCCTCGCTGAGTCACAGTTTCTCGGCTGGCCCCGGGGTTACGTTATATCGCCTCTAATCAAATGAACTCCGGAGGGTTTTATTCTGGATTATGTCCGTGAAGTCGTGACAAAAAGTTGTAAGGAAGTTAACGCAATTTGTCTGATCTGCTTGCTGTAGGTTTGTCGAAAGGCTGAGGCTGCAAATGTATTCCTAAAGCTTGTAGCATGGTGGCTCATTGAGGAATAATTATGAGAAGAACCATGTAGATGCTTTTAAAAAGATTGATTATAACAATGACACAACATAATCCTGAAAATGTAAGCACTCTTGGTATTAGACAGTAAAGCATTCATCTATTGTAATGGCGTTTGACTCAACTGAAAACAAAATACACAAACTGGTCAGTATTATATTTCTTATATCCATGAAAAATAAACCCAGTAGTTCCCTATAGACCTTTTCTGCATGTAGTTTATTCTATAATCGATTTAGCGTTTGCCTTTGTTTTGCTTTTAAATGTTTTTCTAAAGCGCTTATTTGTTTTATGCAAATGACCTTACAGTAAATTGCCTCTGTGTTTCAAATGTGCTACACATGTAAGTCTCTAAGTTGGTATTTACTGTCACTCACTGGCAAGTGTCCCGTTCCTTCTGATTGGACATTCGCTCCATGGAAGAGGATACTGGAAGGACTGGAAGAAATAGAAGATGCTCCAGCCGATGATCACATTATAGTAGAGACCTACAAAGCCACACACCTGGATAGACAGACAGAAGGACAGACAGACAGATAGATCACATTTTACAGTATAAGGTTTTAATTTTTATACCTCCACTAAACTGTATAATACAGTGTGAGAAAATTATGCAGATGAGGCAGCATGCTTTGTGTATTTTCCATGTTGCTTTCAATCTCCAGAGCAATCTTGCCAGCCAGGACATTCACAAGCTAAATAAGGCTGAGGAAAGCATGAATAATTAAAGCACTCTCTTTTCAACACTGATCTTCCTCGAGATATTTATAGCTACTTCTGCGTCAGCCGTGCAACTCTAACGAAAGGCTACCTTTCATTCTCCAGCACATCAATACCTCCCATAAACCCAAGAAAGCCTGAGGCAGCGTGAAGGTTGCTGTTTTGACTCCAGATGTTCCTGTAACTCTATCCTGCTCATTGCCATATCAGTTTCATGGTTGTTACATGCTATAAACATGCATAAGAGACACAAACCATACGTCAGGCAGGCAAAAGGCATAACAATATTATAAATAAGTCACACAGACAGAAGAGTTGCTGGTTTTTACTTATACTGGTGCACATTCAGCAGATGTGCTTCTTTTAAACTGCATGCTTTCCTCCATTAACCTCCCTGATTCTTATCAGAGGACACACACTCTTTCTCTCCACCACGCCGCTTTTCCGAAGCACACTAAAGAAAGTGTTATCAAGTGTATGTTTTAGGCTTACTGCTGTAGAGATCTGAGATTATTCTGAAAATGGAAATGAGTGCCTTTCCTCCCTCACCATCAGACTGGACACCCCTATACCGCCCAGACTGGGACAGACATAGTTCCAGACCCCGATGCTCCCACGCCGGATCTTCTGACCCACAGCCAGCTCCATGAAGAAGAGCGGGATGCCAATGAGGAGGAGGAGGATGAAGTAGGGAACCAGATAGGCACCTGCAAAACACGGAGGCACATGGCATTAGTCATTTCAAGACAAATGTGTAAATTTGTACGAAACAAAAATGGAGACTAATGTTTGGTTGCTAACCCAACACAGAAAAAAAAGTGATGTCCGTCCTTAATTTGAATGCCTTTTATTATTGTTGTATTTGTCAGACAATTGCAAAGACGCAAAAGTATGTTTCTAATGAAAAATAAACAAAACAAACTAATTAACGGAAATGCAGTTGTTGCTGTGGGAATTAAGGAATATCCTTTTTCGAGATAATGTAAGAGTGGACTTTTCCTTACAGATTTAATCTTTTACTTTGAATATCATATACTTTACATTATGGCTTTTTACACTTTTTACAGTGAACCATATCGCTGTAGAATTTCTTCCACGTCTTATATTGAGATCAGTTCTTTCTTTGTTTGCTCGTTACAGTACATCATTTGTTTTGAGTCTGTAGTCTGTGGTGCTGTCGTATTATTAGACTGCTGTTTGTCTCTCTCATGTACATCCCAGGACCAACATGTTCAATACAATGAAATCCAATATGACAGAACCATCACAAACAGTCTTAAAAAATGACGACTTTCTAAAACAGTAATATTTTGTATTTTTAAAAGGACTGCATCACATTAAACCGTTTTTTAAACATAATTTTCTGATCATCCAATGAGTGTATTTGTAGTAAATAGGCTGAAATATGTAAATATACTGGTACAATCCTTTAACAATGTGAGTATAAACGTTGCTGTTTTAATGCCAGTGACATTTGTAAATAATTCAACTATTTTGCATCACTTACAAAATGTGATCCATTGAGATATATTTACCCAACCCCCTCCCACACCCAGCTCCTCTCAAACGTAAGGTCCTCGACTCCACTGACGAATATTCTTAGAATTTCATTTTAATTTTGATGGAAGTCTAAATTTGTCTCTCTGCAGCTTAATCCAGAGCGGCATAATCAGGCTGCAACTGTGTTCCATGTGAAGGGCGATTCGTCATTTGGGACTTATAGCAGGCAAACACGTACTACTAATACATCAGAAGTCGGAATTACATACAGTAGCACACACATTTGATAGTGGGTGAAGTAATGAGGCAGAAGGAGAAGAGAGGAGGCAAAAGGCTCAATCAAGAAGGCTGAAATAGAGAGAATAGTGAGGTTAAATGTAGTTAAGAGTTTGCCAGGATTTTTAAATCCACTGCATTACAGATACTATAATGTGGAATACGGCAGTGACGCGCATTAAGATGTGACAATGGAGGGAGAAAGGATAGAGGATGTTAAAGGGAGAAGATAAATACATGAGGAGGTACCATCAATGAGAGAGAAGCCCCCACCGCGATAACTCCCAAACAACACAGACCTTTAATGTGTCTGTAATTGGCTGCCACACACACAATTACAGAGTGAAAAATGGCTGCTCATCAAACCGCATAACCTGACTGGTTTGGGAGTGTACTGTCAGTAAATCCTGCCTATAAGCAATGACAAGATTTGTTTCCACTTACAGTGAACTCAGGTTTACACTGTGCACCTCCGGTTACATGCAGCCCCAGACCAAAATATACCCTCATCACTATACAGTTACATTTTTTATCAAGCCCTTCTCTGTTTACCAGAATATCAGCGGAGCCCGGCCTGCCCTGTCGGCAGTAGTAATCAATAGTGCAGCTATATTTAGACATTGCTGTTTACTGTCCTGAATGGAAGCTCCATGTAGTTTGTGATGGTAACTGCAACACAGCTGAAAAGCTAAAGAAGCTCAGCAGATGCTGACTTTATATAAATGTTTGTCTGAAAGACATCTTTCTCTCTCTCTATCTATCTATCTATCTATCTATCTATCTATCTATCTATCTATCTATCTATCTATCTATCTATCTATCTATATAACAGATAACAGAAACAAAATCATATCATCACAATATGGTTCCACATAGTTGCTAAAGATAAATATTGAATTATTGCTCAACCCTTGTATCAAAGGCTGCAAAATGTCTTCAATGCTTGAAAGATGACCACCTAAGTGAACCCATATTACTTTTGACTCAAACCCAAGAAGTGGACGTAGTCATCGTGACGTCAAAACTTTTTTTGCAACCAGAAGTGAAGCAAAACCCAACACTGAATAGGACATTTTCAGGCCACCAAGAATGAACTAAAAAACACTATGAAGGGTAAAAGTTGAAGGACAAAAACACAGACAACAACGAGACCGGACAACGCCGTGGTAGCGACCTGTCAATCACAAGGTAGCCACGCACTAAAGCATACTCTGCTGTATCGTCTATTTTACTCTAAATGGATCATAATTTACAAAATGCACATCATGCTGTATTGAAAAAGACTTGAAACTAGCGATTCAGACCATAAACTAATGTTTGCAATGTTTACTGAGGTAATAAATCAAGTGAGAAGTTCTTCTTTTTGCAACCAGATGAGTCGCCCCCTAATGGCCATTTGAAAGAAGTTAGTTCAAATACTTCCACATTGGCTTCACTTTCCCAAACCTGGAGGTTGCCCCCTGGTAAAACTACTTCAATGTGTCCTGCTTAGCACAGCCATGCTGACAATGACGATGCTAACATGCTGATGTTAGCAGGTGTACTGGTAAGCATGTTCACAATCTTAGTTGTTTATTCTCAGTAGTCCTGGGTTGGAGACACTATTAGTGTACATTACGATCCGTCATATTGTCTTTTTTGTTACTATCACAAAGGGTTGTGATAGCTTTAAGTTAAGATGAATTTATGGATATCAAAAATCTCTAAAAACGTAAAGGAACTCTGTAAAATGTGAATTTAAGTACAGTAAATGTGATGATCCTTGTGCAACACGGCAGCTTGGACTACTTTGAGTATATTACCTCCTCCGTTCTTCTGGCACAGGTAAGGGAAGCGCCACACGTTGCCCAGGCCCACAGAGAAGCCAACCTGTGCCAGGATGTACTGCAGTTTGCTGTTCCAGGCTGGGCGTCCATCGTTTTCAGGCAACTCTATCTGCGGGACCTTTTTCCCGGCATCCCCTCCAACGTTCAGGGAGCTGTTCTTGTAGTCGAGCGTCTCCTCGTGTGCGAGCAGATCGGCCACCGACTCTGTGACGTGCTCATGGCTCTGCTCGCGCTGCGTCACCTTGATGTTCTTAGGCATCAGGGAGGCTGAGGGTCGGGAGGGGGGTGGGGGTGGTGAGAGAAAGAGAGAGCGAGTCTGTTGGGAACAGAAGGAGGTGATACAGACAGATAGAGGAGAAGAGGTGGATGGATGTAGCTATAAGGGAGATGCTGAGCAGTGACAGCTGGGTCTTTGGTTTGGGCCTCAGTCCTGCATCAGAAAGGCAGAAAGGTCAAATAGAAAATTGTGAAAAGGACTATCATCAATAATTAAAATGTAATAATCTTCTATTATTGGATAAAACAAATCCCATAAATAGTCTCCATTTCAAATAAGCTGTTGGGTTTGTGGCCTTGTCAAGGCTCATTTAATTTGAAGCTTCCTTTTGTGATCCTTAAATAACACTTCACACAATCGCTGACACAATTATTCCTCCATTTAGTGCTTGGTTAGGCTCATAACGAGACAATGGATTGTAACACCTGTTTATGCCTCTCCAGAGCCATGAAGGATGTCAACATAAAGACAGGAGACCATTCGTCACACCTGTGTGTTAACTTAACCCGATTCTTTCAACAAAACTCAGCAGGGACATTTTTACGCTATACAGCTTTTTGTCTCTCACGAAATGTTTTTGGTTTTAAAAAAAAATACCCAATCCTGCAAATTGTTCTATTTAATTTCCCTGTTCGGCAAAGCTTAACTTTAGTGCTTTTTTCCCTGTAATTCCCCTAATCCTCTGAAGCCTGGCTGCAACATCCAACCTCACCCCTCTTTCAGGGAGTGGTTGGTTCAACCCAAACGAAATGGATGCTCTGGATGAAGCAGGTGCCGTCATGTGGTCTCTTGATCCACATCACGAGCCCCTGTGCAGGCTCATTACTTATTGAGTGAGTCATTTCTCCATTATAAAAAATCTGCCATCCACTGACATGCACAACTGCAAAGCTTAGGTTGTTTGAACATTGTTTCACATACAGAGGAAAAGATAAATAAAACAACAGGCTATGAATACAGACTAAGTCACAATTTTAGTCCTGTCAAAGCAGAGGGAAAATGTGTAAGGAAACTGGGGCTGAATGAAGATGCTGCACCACCTCGAGTGTGACGCAACAGCATTAATGCACACAAGCCTTCATCGTCACAACACTCACTTCTTACATCAGCTTAAAACAAACTCTGTTACCACCAGCAGATTCTCCACAAGGAACATGACCTCCACACAAACACTCTCAGCTCCTCAGGGTAACAAGAATGACACAAACACACCGGAAGTTAATTCGTGCTCAGAATGTGCATTATGTTTACTTGTTCATGCATTTTTCATCCCACACCAGATTTCCTCCTCTGTGCATGCCAAGATGAGCCTTTGATGTAATAATCCATGTCCATTCACAAGTCTTCATAATCCTGTGTGCATTAACTGTAAAGCCCCCGGCACCGCCTCTCTGTCTTGTCATTCAATCCCATCCTACAGCATACAAGACATGTAATATCAATCAGAGGCTGCATCATGCAGCCAACGTTGAGAGATGAAAACACCCAACAAATAATCCGCCCGGAAAAACCCACCAACACACAGTTTTCATGAACCCAGCAGATACTAAGAGTCCGACTGTGTGGAACCATTTCATGCCAAAGTAAAGACGTGTTTTTTCATGGCAGGAGGAAACTAATCTTTGGGTGTGCTTGCAATGTTATCTCTCTCCTGTGTCAAAATGAGATCTAGTACAGAGTTTAAAATATAACCTACATAACCTATTTATTATTTTGCATTCTTCACAACAAGGGAAAGCTACCTCATAATGTACATCATCTCTTAATGACTCGGACAAAATGTCACATCAACATCAGAGGGTGCAATGTGGAGTCGTTTTCTGTACAACAATAGTGTGGTTTCATTTAGGAAATAGTGTCTTCTATTGTACAATACAGCAGTTTGTCATGTGTGTATGCAGCTATCTTCTGTTGTGACTCCATGTTGTTGGACATGACACTCTAACAATGGATGTATCCAAACCAGAGTCAGAACAAACAACTATTTTATTATCTACAGATTCTTTTCTAAATTCATTAAATAAAAGTGAAAACATGTCTGTCACAAATTCCTAAAGCCAAAGTTGATGTCTTCAAATTGCTTGTTTTGTCCAACTAACAGTTCAAAACCCAAAGATATCCTGTCACGTGACAAAGTAAAGCTGCGTATCCTCCCCCATCACAGTTTTCACTGTAAGACAAGTGATATTTGAACAGAGAGTAATGACATTTAAACACTTATATACACAATATTACACACAACTAACAGGATGAAAAACTGCAAACCCTGTAGCTATCAGTGTAATCAGTGTTTAAATGTCCACGTGTCCATTAATCGATAATTGATTGATTACCAGCCTCTTTTACAAGGCTTTTAATCAGTTGTTTCACACTGGGAAGTATTAAACATCTGAAGTCTTTAACAACCAGCGCATTCATTCATGGCAACAGCCCATTAGATATCACAGCTTTAAGAAAATAATGGCGTGGACCAGTGGAAATCTAAAGAGTTTTTTTTCTCCATAAAAAGCTTTTTAACAGTAAAATATAGTTGAGCAGAGAAGCTGCAGGTTAGGAATGCTCTCACTTATGAACACAACAGCACTGCTCCCTCGTGTCAGCACATCTGGTGCTGATGGTGAGAGCCCAGTGTTTTCATCTCAGATTTCTACCGCTCATCACGTGATGCGACGACTTTTAAACACGCGCAATCAAGGTCACAGACGATAATCAGCGACCTCTGTGTAAACTACACCACATCTCGACAACGATGCAATATAGGCAGAGAGAACTTGACATGACTCAAAACAAGCTGCGTTTAAGATGTAAAACAAAGCGATTGAAACTATTTCCCAGCTGTCTGTGAACTTTCTTTATTTCGAGGCAGGTGATAACACCTAAAAAGAGAGAGCTGCACAGCGGAGGGATGTTAGGAATAAATTATTTCTCACCGTGAGTCTTTAGCAGCGATCAACAATATCCAGGGTTTATTATGAACGCAGAAAATAAGTGGAGAAGCATGAGTACATCCGCCGGGCAGTACTTGTGTGTCGGTGTGGTGTGGACTGAGCGCTCGGAGGACTACTGGAGGACGGAGGATCACATGCTGCTCTGCCCACAATTAACATGCAGCGTGGAGAGTCCGGGGCGCACCGTGACGCACAAAGTGCTGCTCATCAACAATGACAAATGTATCACCTGCTACTCACTTGTTGTTTGAGACTTCCGCCCATCACAGCGTCGGCGCACGTGAAGGTGTGATGCTGAGAGGGAAAAGAGGGATTTGTCAAGGTTATCCACTCCAACCTGAGGAAGTGATGGTCTGACGCAGCTTTCGTCATTTCAATTGATAAAAAAAATGCAAGCCGTTTCATGGTGTGTCAGGATACAGAAATACAAATCATACCACAAAATTAGCGTTGAGGTTCTGTTAGCATCCCCAAAAAACAGTTGTGAGGCTGTAAGAGAAACACGTCATGTTTCACTGCTCAACAATGAATGAGCATTAATAAATGAGTAACACTCATAATACATATATGAACAATGAATAAATAATAGTGGAAGGGAGGAAATAACATTTTGCACTTGAAGGACAGAAAATGTGTTATTATTTATACCAGTGATGTAAGACGTTGGCCTGAATTTAGGGTGTAAGATTAAATGAAATACTTAACTAATGGTGATTTAATCCATGATTAAAAGCAGTATCAGCATGAATTCCTGTTGCTCACCATTAAGATATGTTCAAGTCACTCTGACTAAATATAGCTCACACTTAACAGCTCATCTAGATCCATCAAGGGATGTAAATTCACAGTTAGCCTATTGACCACAGCTGAGCTGGTGGCTAGCAGCTAACGGTGCAAACAGCAGTGTAAACAACAGCAACAGTGCTGACAGAGCTAACAGTGTTTACCTGAGGGGAAGCTGGAGGGTTTGGTGCTACCATTCCACCACGAGGCTGTCAGTCGGACATCTTTATATGAGTGCAGTGCAGAAGCCAATGTGAGCTAGCCAGTGGGTCAAGCTCACATGTGCTAACATGCACTAAACACATGCTATGTAAACAATGCACAGTAGCTCTAATTACAAAATATACAGAGGGAGAGCAGCTCAATGCTCATGTAGATATTACTCTACTATACCTTTATAATGCAAATATTTGTTTGCTGCTATATAAATAAATGTAGTGGAGTAGAAGATCAAAGAAGAGCATGGACATACTCATACTTTTTGGGGACAGATATCCACTCTCTAAGAGAATACACATTTAATTTTCTTCATTGATGACTACTCTAATAATCTGTGATTTACAGCTTTATCTCGCTGATCTAACTTTGGACTTTCACCAGGTGGTCGTTTCTCTATTAGACATTGGACATGCGACACGACTGCGGCAGACACAGTCACCCAGGGGATCATAAATCATGTACCGTCCGCCCGAATATTCTTCAACACCACCGAGATTGGGGAGGAAGATATTGTCGAGGGGCCATTTTTCATCCTGACACTGTGGTTTTTATTTCGTTGTCCGTTCCAACATGTCTGCCTCAGATGTGTTTGTTCTCACTTGATTCTTGATGTTTCTCTTCATCTGCATCTGCATCAAATTGATGTATCAGTATGGACATTGGTCTAAGTGATGATACAGAACATAGAAGAGTAAACATGTGGAATCAAGAGGCTTTAAACTTAGTGGGAACAAAAGCCTGTTAAATGAATAAGCATTCATACAGATTGAACTGACTAGTATAAGACGTGACCTCTCCAGTACTTTTGAACCACATCGTCCGATCTCATTCTCTCTGTATTCAGGCCTTGCAGTAGGATGTTGTTCAAACTATTTTTAGACGATTTCAGGTTCTGATCTGTTTTTAGTATTTCTTCATCCGGTCCTTGGTGACGCTTTTGACGCACCTTCTTCGAGCTGACTGCTGGAAGCAGTTGCCACAGCAACCTCAGGATCATATGACAGACTTTGTCTCATCTCTGCACTCTCCTGTCTGCACTCCTCCCTCCATAAATTGCTTTATTCTTTAGTTGGGAACAACTAAATGCATTTCAAACGTCCACACACACATGTATGACCTAGACTTAAACTATGGTCTCTGAAGTTTCTGTGGGATCCTAGGTGACAGAGTGATTTTAATATTTCTTAAATCCAAATACTTTAAGTAGTACTATACATGCAGATAACTTCTTCTCCCACTGTGTTTACTCTACTTACGTCTCATGGGAAACAATGTCTGACAAGAAACATCTACCGGGGTGCTCTTGATCACCGCAGTATAGCCTCAACTGCTGCAGGGCATCTGCTAAGTGGACAGTGGTGTGTCACTCGCATCATTTTTAGGTGTTTTATTAAGCCTGCATCAGGAGCCTAGGAGGCCTGTGGGACTGTTAGCACTGCAGCACTATATGCCCTCTCTGGTTAGCAAATGACCGTACAGTCCCATCTGGGATGGAGGAGCTGCAGCCTTGTTTTCATTTACTTCGTGTCCTTTTACTCATACTTGCATTTATTGTACATACTTTTGAACCTCAAATCTTTTCTTGGTTCTTGATTATTCAGCACCAGATGTTACCAGCCATGCTAGTAGCTCTGTGAGGCTGTACTAAATGGAAACAATGGTTATTTGAGCTGATGCTAAAGCTAATGTCAGTCAAGGAAAATTCCAACAGGCTGATGTTTAGCAGGTACTATTTTAGTTTAGTATGTTAACATGATGCTAACTGTTGCTAATTATCAATAAACACAAAGTACAGCTGAAGCTGATGTGAATGGCATTAGCTTAGCAGGATTTTGGTCATAAACACACATAAACACAAACCAGATGATGGTGCTTGTTGATGAAAAGTCAGAGGATCACCAACGTAGATATCTGTGCCAGATTTCAGCAATCTAAGTTGTTGAAATATGTCACTCAAAATCACCAATGTCAACCTCATTTAAACCTTTTCAGGAAAAGTCAAGAGATCATCAAAGCAAGTAAGGTTTATTCTCTGGGAACCATAGCAGTCCAAAATAATGGCAATCTATCCAGTAGTTGTAGAGACATTTCAATTAAGATCAAAGTAGAGGCCTAATCAACAGACTGACATTTCTATCCGTAAGGCCACGCTGCTATCACGACCAACAATCTTACATGTAAACTAAACACCAGGAAAGCTTGAGTGACTGTGTTTCCTGTCAGAGTTATTCTTTTCTCTTAGATATTTATATTTATTTCTATCATCTGCATTCTTTTCCTCAGTCACAGTCACCATCCCTACGCAGTGTCCTCCCTTTGGTTATGAAGAATTTCTCTCTGGAATCTTTACTTCAAATATCTTCCATGCTTTTTGTGTCTCATGGTCCTTGGTGTCTGACGTCAGCACACTTTTAGAGCACATTTCCACTCCTCTCTGCTGTTCACCTTCAGTCGCCTCTAACTTCACATTGTGTCCCCGCCGCTTTGCAGCACCCGCTTTCTTTTCTGCTCCCCTACGCCCACTTTCACTCACGTGCGCTCTTGCATTCTGCATCTGCACCACCACATACGCCCAGTACTTTTCCTTCACTCCAGTCTCATTTATATTCCGCCCTCTCCATCGCTTTGCTCTCCTCCCCCCATCTTCCCTCCCTCCTGTTTCTCCTCTTGTGTTTTGTGCTGTCTGGATCACTCTCAGTTCCTAAAAAAAGATTCACTCTGCACTGGGCTTTTTGGTATCGCTTATCTAGTCCATTATTCTGAGTACAAGCACTTGAACAAACGTATTACATCTACACTGCAAATCCTGCTGAAAGCAAGTGAATGTGAACACTTTTGACAGATGTGAATGGAGTATTCAAAGCGATCAATTTCTACATTTGTCAGGGTGATCGATGCACTGATAATTCACTGACGCATGTTCTCTCACAATACTACTTCATCAGCATCACGCAAAACCTGTGAATACAAACATATTGTTTTGAGGAAAGACAAAAATAAGAACTTTTCATGTATTGTTCATCTTTCTTTAAGATGAGGAAATGAACAAAAGGCTATTTAAGTCATGCATGACTTGGTTTTAATGTCAAAAAACACTTGGCTTTCTGCTGAATCTGCCAATGCATTCTTACATTGTTGTAACATATGCTGCTCTCCCAGTGTGCATCAGTGCACGGGGACATGCTGGTGTTGTGCAGGTGTTCAGACAGTGGAGAAAATGGGTCATGTCGGGCTCTGAGACACACACTGCAGTGCTGTGCCATCCTGTGTTTATTTACACAGGATGTAATCAGAAACTGTTGTACTGCATGAGCAGTATTGTCGTTAAATGAAGATACAATGAGGAACTTAACAGATGAATAAAAACCAGATGGGTGCCGTGTACGGTAAAGTGATGTGAGACTGTAGGCGGTTCATATTTTCACACACATGGCGGGGAATTCATCAAGGATTGTGTAATGGTTCAGGTGAGACACGTGAAGGATTGGTTGTCCTTTGGTTGGCAGAAATACCCAAACAGATCTGTTACGAAGCATCTGTCTGACATGGAAGCCAGGGTGCAGTGGGTCAGGCCATGCTGTTCACCTTAATGCAACGCACAAAAATAGAAACTCATTAAAAGCTGTATTTTCCGCTCTAATCCTTTGCCGATTTCCCCTTTTAATAGCTCATTAACAAAAACCCTCACATGCCTTTCTGTATTTGACGGTTGTTATCAGATGAAACCCCTTTCTGTTGCAGTATATTCAAGGTTTCATATTTCAGTGAGTTCATTGCTGCAGCCTCTGAAAACATTACTGTGTGAAGGTTTGTTTCCTGTTTGTTATTCACTGGTGTGAACAAGCAGCAGCAACTATAGTTTGCCACCATTTTATAAGTAAGCACAATTTTGTTGACACACACTGATGGATGAATGCTTTGGTTAAGGACAAACAACTGACCTGGATATTGGGAAGAGATTTAAAGCAGGACTAAATTTCCCCACTCATACTATCTTTATAAACACACTTAAACCCATGTTAATACATGGGTGGCAGATTGCCTTGCTGGGCCTGCACGTGGACATGTGACAGTCTATGTAGGAACTTCACCAGATGGTCTCTCAAAGAGGGGCCAGTCCAGTTCACGGGGTTGAGGGCAAAGCTTCTGTCCCCATTTGTTTTGGACAACATAATCCTTTTAAAATATCCC